CTTGTTTTTCCTGCTACCTCAAGGTGAAATGACACTAGTTACCACTTGTCTCAAAAATGTGAGGAGTCTTAGCAAGTGTTTGTTCTGCAAGTGTTTGTTTTGCAAGTGCCACTCCCCGGGAGTTTACTGAAGCTGGTTTTCATTTGTTTAAACATACAAAATAATAACTTATCTGTACAATAATACAACTAGGTAACTGGTAAACTGACCTTGGAACTTGAGAATGAGGGGAGTCGGCTTTTGAGGCTCCCAGGCTCCATTTGCAGCGGCTGGGAAGGTCGGGTCGGATCCATTTCCTCTCAGCAGTGACGTTCTTTGTGTTTATCTGAATGGTTCTGTTTGGCTCTTCAGTGTCCTCCATCGCGGGCAGCTTGTCAACCCCGTTCAGTGGGAACGAACCCTCCCGGAGTTTGGATTCTCCGTTGGTGTGGTTGAGCAGTTTGGCAGCATGAGGGCACACTGGACTTTTGACAGGGCTCTCTTTGGATGAGGGTACTGATGGCATGGCTTACCCTGGAAAACAAGAAGAAAAGGCTCTTTACTAATCTGACATTTTTAAGAATGTCAATGGTTCTGTTTAGCTAGTCTGTCCACAAAAACTGTGGTGCCTTCTCTTTCCGCTTTCACATGTTTTTGACACCTGGTGTATAGTGAGCTTTCAATGGAGACCTCCTCAGGTATCCAGGAGATGATGCATCATCAGATTATTATCAGAAAAAAGTACTGTTTGAAATTTCCTTGCTAAAAAAAGCTTTGCCTAAATAATTTACTGGCTACAATCAGCAAAATGGTTATGTAACGCAGGAGGTATCTAATCAAAAAGTAAACAAACATTATTAAAACCCAGAGACAACATTTTATACCTTCAATAAGTTCTTTCCTTCTCTGGAAATATTGAGAAAACATTTGTTTCTATTGTTAATAAACTTAAGAACTTAACTTTGCATCAATAACTGATAATGAAAAGATGCCACTGCATGATCAGGTCAGAGCTTACGCTGACTTTATTAATAACTGCACAGATACATTACCACGTTCAAAAAGGACCCAGTGGAAAGCAAACAGTGAGCCAGAGCCACTCCTATTTATGCTTTCATTAATGCTGAGTCACATCCGTACTGAGAAATAAAGTTTCATCATGCTACATTGCTCTTCCTTATGCACCCTTTCCTCCCTTATGCACATTCAGTAATAACCATTTTAAACACAGTCATGATGAGCAAATAAATTAGTCAAAAAATTCTGCTTTCATCTGCGCTACTTGAGAAAACAAAAGGGAAGTGTGGCAAAGGCCCTGACAATTGGCTGATCGAGCTTTTCCTGATATTGCATCAGACGGTTACTGTAGAAAAAACACACACATACACAGAAATTGGCGGTGCTGACTCGAGATTTAAAAGAAAAATACTCATTACTTTGTTCTTATCTTTGTGTGTTTGTGAATGTAAACCTAAAATGACTCCATTATTGGTTGTTACAAGTTATAAAATGTTGTAAAAGTCACACATGTACAACTAAATGTTAAATATTATCCTAAAGTGGAGCTCAGTACTGCAGGATGTTAAATATTAGCGGTCGGACTGGAAGAGGAGCTACACATTTTGACTATTAGTTACGTATATGACACTGACCGGTCAATGTGAGGTCCAATAATAAAACCTTGCATGAACAGGAGCAGACAGTTAGTTATTCCTGCAGACAGATCAAAGGTTCGACAGACTGACAGCTGAAAAAAAGATCTAATGAAAATGACGGTAATGTTGCAGCTTCAGACGACAATATTAGATACGAGACTACTTCACAAAGCTGTGAGCCTCCCTTGTTCATCCTATTAACGTACCCATTAGGTTCCTCCACTGGAAATGGCTGCAGATGAACCTTCACTAACACACAGTGCACACAGCGAGGCCAGCTGTTAAAACCGGGGCCCCTCTTTCAGACGATGCTCACAAACTGAACCAACTACATCCTCTTAAGCAAACAGCTCTGCATGGGAAAGAAAGTTAGTGCCGCACCGGTGAATAAAACATTCAGTATGCTATGAAACAGTAATCCCTGCAAACAGAAAACAAGAATACGTTCACACTCTGGTCTTTCCTCCTTGTTAAACCCACCTGAGCAGAAACCAATCTTAAGTGTGAACCCTTCTTTCCTGCCACACATGCAACTTCACCTCTTGATATCAGATCTCTGCAAGCCGCAGTTAGTCACACACTAATGAAGTTACACTGGCTACAACGGCGGTGGTAAATGTGGGAAAGAGTAGGTGGTATGCGGTGGCCTTACAGGGTTCAGCGGGGCAATATGATCCTCTGTGAGAGCACACACGGCACCGAGCCCAGGCTGCCAGGCAGAAAAGACTTTTAGGATTTAACGAGCAGAAACTTTAAATCTGTGTTTAATAGGCCACGCTAACGTCAAGAATCAAATCCTCAAATACCTACCAGGCTGAGAAAACAGTCCAAAAAATAATAATAAATCACCTGATCTGAGCCTGGCAACATCAAACCCAATCTCTTGAAAAATCCCTGTAATATTCTTACCTTATCAGACTTCATTATCTGCTTAACTTGTGGCGTTTCTAATCTCCTTTGGTATGTTCAATGCTCTCAAACTAATTACTACTGTGCAGCTGCCCTTTTGTAATTTAGGCTATTTTAAAAAACTGTTGTTGGTCAGGTAATTGCCCTGCCAGCAATAAAAACAACCAAAGTATCAGCTGGTCAACAGCACAAGAAGACTATAGATACCCACTCAGCCATAACAAATGGTGGGCCAAATGTGAAACGCAGGAATGCTGCCAATAGAAATACAATGTACAAACTGCAGGCACGTAACGTTACACCTGAACCCACCAACACATGGTCAGGAGGACAAATTATGATTAACTTTAAGCCGATATGCCAGTATCCATGTAGGGCCCTGACTGCGACTGAAAGATGTATAGCTGTCAGGAAAAGAGTGTCTAATGATAAAAAGGTAAAGAAATGTTGATTAGTTGTTTAAGAGGCAATTAATCAGCTATTTTAACAATCGATTAATTGTTTTTCAAGCAAAAATGTCAAATTTTTTATGCTTCCAGGTTCACAAATTTGAGAATTTGCTGCTGTTTCCTTGTGTTACACTTTAATCAATTAAATACTTTGGGCTCTGCCCTATGATACTGTGATTTTTCTGCATTTTCTGATGTTTTATAGACTTGACTGATTTTAAAAATGAAATACATTTAGCAGATGAGGATAATATTTGATACTTGACAATACTAATTGAAAATAATGTTGCTAAAATACCTCAAATTCACTGGTTCCAGCTTCTCAAATGTGAATATTTGCGGTTATATTTCTGCAACAATAAACTAATGTGAGTTTTACATTATCGATCAGACAAAACAGGACATTTAAATGTCTCGCTGTTCTTTAAAGGGCAACTGAATGGTTGGCTACAGCTTTAAGGTTACACTATGACAGGCAGATTATAGAGCAGGATGAAAGACAGCTAACATCATAAAAAGAAAATGAGTGGCAGGAGCTATAAAGCCGTAAATAAACACGATTCAGCTCCGATAGGATAAGTGCGGGGTTGATAATGAAAAATATAAGAATGAACGGAAAGCACTTACATTAAACGTAACGTTATATTGCGTTTTATTGTAACATTAAGCGGAGTCAAACACAAAAACCAAATTAAAAGCAGATAACGGCAGTCGGATTAAAATAAAAAATAAAAAATAAAAAATAAAAATGAACTACGTAACTGCGAGGTTGCATCAGAAACAGCGTCTACAGCTTACAGCCCCCAAATACCACAACCACGTGTCCTACCGTGGTCATTTTACCCCTTTTTTTATGCTCATTTCTGCCCCATTTGTAAATTCTCACTCACCTGTTTTGGTTAAATGCCCCAAAAAATGTGGGAAAAACACACAAATGACCCCGACGTACAGCAGCCGTAGTCAGGACAACAGCTCGGAGCGAGCAACTTCCGATAAAGACAACGGTTTTCGTGACGAAGCACGTGGACCTCAACGGGGAGGACGTGGGCAAAGTTTCGAGGCGCGATCTGATTGGCTGCGGCGAGGGCGTCGGTTTGGTGCGCGCAGCCAATCAGAGCGCAGATATCTGAGAAAGGGGTTCGGGAAACAGCCTGCGTTAAAATTGTCCCGTCCGCACCATCTGTTTACCTTTTATTGACCCAACACGCACCGCACGGTCCTTGACGCATGTGACATCTTGAGAACTTCTCATGGGGAGTTAGTTACTCCCAAAATATTCATGGGAGTGAAATAGCTCTATACGTAGATATTTTTTTTAAACTTTAAATAACATTTTTGTCGACTCAAATTTCAGCTTTAAAGCAGAAAATGCGTGTTGTATTAACTATACGTAGTTATATGAATTCTTGAACAATATATTCATATTTTTCCACTTTTCTGTGCAGTTTCTCAACCTAAAGACATCACCAAATAACCAGTAGGCTTTACGTGTGTTTAACTAATCCGAAGCAAAGATTTTATCAGATCTAAGAAAACAGAAGTGGGAGTAGGGGAAAGTCCCTGCAGTTGACTTGTGCTTTAGTTAATGTTGCCTCATTCATAGTGTAATAGGGGGAAAAATGAGTAAGTGATGTTTTAGAGGTGTGAAAATGCATTTGCAGCCATATATGTGCATGCATCCATCTACTATAAATTCATCTCCCATTTAAAAGTCAAGATTAGTTCTGTTTTTGAATGCGGTTAATGTGAATCAAAGACTTGTAATTCTTAGCTGTAATCATAAATAAACTAATAGTTTATTTAGTTTAAGATTATCAGAAGTTTGAGAGCAATAAAGAGGTGTGGCAGGACCAAAAGGAGATCCATGTTTGGAGACTGCCAATCTGTAAAATATTAAATAGATGATAAAACCTTTCCGTCGGACAACCTGTTACTGATAGATCCAAATCAATTAACCACATAAAAAGGCATAAAAGGCTGATGTTCATATAAGCAAATGGTGCCGGTGCAGGATTAAAAATCTGTTTTATTGAGAAAGCGACACAAGCTCGTCTTAAAAAAAGGGAATAAAAGAAAAACACTTTGAACAATTCACCAAAAAAGAAAATAACTTTGTCATCACTGCTGGGGTAAAGGGGGAGGGATGTGATAGGACATTGGGTCAGTCTTGGCTTCTTTTCAGAATCTTCCAGAGCGCTCTCGGTCCCTCGACCTTCGCCGCTCGCGGTCCCGCCGTCGGTCCCTGGAGCGGGAGCGTCGTTCCCGGGAGCGCGAGCGAGAGCGGTGCCTGATGGGAAAAAAGACAAGATTAATTAAAAAAAAAAAAAATTGGAACTAATCCTCAAACATAAATGTTTCACTATAACAATTTCTTTACCTTTTCCTGCGGCGGCCGTACAACTCCCTTCGAAGTTCCCGCGATATGGGTTTAAGGTGCATGAAGTTGCAGAAGCCACCTCTGGTGCACTCCCTGTAGGGAACACGGTACATAAAGGGTTACCACTGGTTTGTGTTTGGTGGAGCAGTGCCACGAGGAGAAGTTGGCTCTTAGTAACACATGCTGAGGTTCATGCTAGCCCACCAAGCAGAACATCTGATCTTTATCGCCCCTAGCACCGAGTTCGTCCTATCGCTGGCTGAGTAAACAACCCCCAATCCAATGGAAAAACACTGAACGGCTCAAAGGAGAGGATCAGATGTTACCTCCCACCATGCAAGTACAAAGTTTATCATTGCGTTTTAAAGAAAATGTGATGTCCATGCAGCTGGTACAGTTTCAGAGCCTTTCTGAAGGACACACGCACGAGCTGAACGCAGAGGACAGTGAAACTTTATCTAGCAGCTGGCATGATTTGCCTGCTGTTGGCCCGCGGAGGAAAGATTTGCCTATGTTCCTCCCTCTCTGCAGTGCAACTGTTTTTGTGCAGTAATTTAGGAAAATGCAACAAATGAACACAAAGTTTGAGGAGGGAGTTTCGATTATATAATAAAGCAAACACCTAAATCTCCTCAAGGCACTTATCATGTCTGTTGCATATTCCAAACAAGCTTTCCAATAAATTTGCACAAACCAGCTTATACAGAGTTAGCCTGGATCTTTCGAGGGGCCCCTTGAGTGTTTGAGCCAGTAATCCAGCCTTAGCTGCAGAGTGAACAGGGAAGCTTTACGGATCGTCTAGCTACAGGACGGACTTTCTTCTCAACATCACATGCCTTTTCTGCCTCTACCTGATGCCCTTACACACACATACTATGTGTGTACAATAGTTCCTCCAATACATTGAATAAAAGACTTTGTTTTTAAGCAGGAAACTCTTAAATTAAGACAACCTGGGCTGAAGGAATGATTTATAGCTGTGTGAAAATGTTGCAGCTGGTCACAGAGACAAGAAGGAAAGATGTTCTCCTTTATTTTTATCTGCTGATCAGACCGAGTAACAAGAAAATCAGGAGCCGTCTGCTTGGGTGCTCAGTTCTGCACTAACCTCATATTTATTCAAACATTTCTGTAATTGTAACTGAAATGTTTACTTATAGAAAAACTTTAAGTTGGTTTTATTTTCGCTCTGGATCTTTGTTCCTAATGGAGTTATAATTGGTGAGCAACACAATATTGTTACACAGTAGATTTTCAAAGTTATTACTGTATTAGAGAGGATTTACTACATTTGAAATTAAATAAGAAGGCATTTGATTGTTTTACATTAATAGGTAGTGTTCAGTGCTCCTACAGTTCTGCAGGTGTTACTCACCCCATTTCATACTGGCGGCAGCAAGCTTCCCTGAAGTCAGTGACGGGGGAGAGTTCTGCGTGGATGGGTTGGCCGTTGAACCAACGGTTGTTCAGGTCCATGACTGCTTTCTCTGCGTCCTCCTCACGACGAAACTACAAACACAGGACACATAAGTATGAGGATACACTACGGATACATTACTTGGACACACCGACCGCCTGTGTGACAGCAACCTCGCTGAACTGCTGCAGTTTGCATGCTTGTGATGTTCACACCAAACACAGTTCTGTCTACACCGAGTTGGCCTTTGATAAATACTATACAATAAAAGAATTGTGAACACATGAATGGTTCCTCTTCACAGAAACCAAAAGAGCTTTATATCAAAACAGATACGGGAGATGTTAAGTAAAAAAAAGTGGCATATTCTTAAGATATTGACGTTGAAACTGTAGTTAAAGGTGTGATTTCTTTTTATTCGTCTATTTTTGACAGGAACTGCACACAGTTCTCTCCAATAAAGCGTCGCCCCAGATGTGCAGCTCACACGAGCGCCTAATAAAAAAGCAAGATATTCTGCGTACACTGTGCCCAGACTGTGAACTCATAACTTGGTGAACTATTATAATAAAAATAAACAAATCTGACTCAATGACAATGCACCAAGATATAAAAATGAATATACTTTCAAATGATCTACGCAAAAGGAAAAGGTCACTTAAAATTACACTGTAGTCATCTAAAATGACTGTTTTATCCAAGCTCTTTAACAGCCACATCTTTATCTCATTTGCTCCATCATAAACACATTTAGATCATCCACCAACCTTAACGTAGACATTGCCGACAAGGTGGTCGCCCAAGTTATCGCACACATTCATCTCCTCCACCTCCCCATACTTCTCCTCCATCTCCGTGAACACCTCCTGTGTTGGAAACAAGAGAGGGAAATAACCATGACTCTGTCCTAGGAGGTTCTTCTCTTTTACCTTTTATTTTAGGTTAAAATTAGTAGCTGGTCACGAGGAATTGACACCTCGGCTAACCAGCTTCCTGTGGTGAAACCATGTGGTTGTGTTGATACATGGCATAATTACAAATATACACGAGTAGTTCACACTACTCAAACAGATATGTGATACTGTTGTGTTGTGTATTTTAGTTGAGCCAAGTCCCCTTGCTAAAACATTCCTTTATATTGCAGTGAGAGTTTTATTATATGCTGCTTAATGGATATGTTTAGACATGAGTTCGGTGTTGAGTCGCATTCCTTTTCTTTTTTTTTTGATACTTTATTTTTATTGATTTTCATTTGCAACATACAAACACCAGTAAAAATAACAATATTAAAATGAAAACAAATAAATAAATCAATCAGAAAAAGAACACACTGGATTGCCATGTCTCTACAGTTTGTTCTTATACTACTGTCAGTGTGGTAGTCTTTATCCTATTTCTCCCACTTTTCTCGATATTGTTCTTCTTGGGTCTTTATCTTATGAGTCAAATGTTCCATAACATGTACGTTATTCACAATTTTAGCCAATCCTCTTGTGTTGGTGGGTCTGGCTTATAACATTTTGTCATGATTGCTTGTTCACAAGCTGCTAACAATATTTTCTACAAATATCTGTCCTCTTTTAACAACATTCCCGTTCATATTGCCAAAATATAGTAATACACATGACTTAGACATATCATAACCCAGAATTCTGACGATAACCAGGTCAACATCTTCCCAAAATGTTATAATTTTAGGGCAAAGCCAAAAAATATGAGGATGATCTACATTTATAGCTCCACATTTTCTCCAACATGGCTGTGGTACAGATAAGTATTTGTTCTTAATTCTGTGGTAAAGAATCTAATTTAATACTTCCAACAAAATAATCTCCAAGTACGTGATGATGTGGTTGACTGTACACCTAGCTCTCTTTCCCGTTTCAGTTTCACATATGAAGTTGTATTCCCTCTTCTCCCCATTAGTTGGCAATATATTGTAGATATTATTCTGTATTTCTTTGAATTGTAGGTTCCAATCATGGTTCTTACTATTACATTTTCATCGTGCTTTATTTCTTTGTCAAAAAAGTCCCTTATTTACAGATATCTGAAATGGTCCTCGTTACTTAATCTATATTTTTATTTAATCACCTGGAAACAGGCTCTGGTCAAGAACAATCATCTTCCACCTCATCCCACAAAATATGTAGTTTCTGATTTTTATCCAGATTATTATCTAGAATGATCTTAGCCTCGTATTTAGGACCTATAATTAAGGTCACAATATACTGTACCACTCATATTCCAGGTGTTAAAGCAGTTACAGTACAGATGTTGCATATTCCCGCTGTGTAAATATTGACACATGAATGATTCCTGCTTCAGCAAAAACTAGATACATTTGGTCAATGTCAAAAAGCGCCAGATAACCCAAGTTGTGACATCATGTCGTTCAATATGTTGGATGAAGACGAGACATCGGCACAGAAGGTCACTCACCTCAAAGAACTCGTCATAGTGCTCCTGCATTTCCACATCGCTGACAGCGCCTACAAAATGCCAACAAAGGGGCGGTCAAGGCAAAGCTCGATGGACACTGGTGGCAAAAGACCGTCTTTAAATGGACTGTGTAACACCTTTAGCTTTTAACAAACAAATCTAACTGTGGGAAATCTTCTGGCTATAATAGTTACACCCTGCAAACGTGGATCAAAAAGGTAAAGAGTCTGTATGTTGTCTTCTCTCCCATGCCTTTTCAGCTTAACCTGGCTCTTCACAGAAGCCAGGTGAAAACTAGAGCTGACCCCTCTTGACCTTCTCCTGGCTAGCGGGGGGGGGGGGGGTTAACTCAACTGTTTGCCAATGTTTTACCTTCTTTGGTAAAAGTTGGGGACAGCACTAGTAGAAACCTGCTTCAATAAACCAGAAGCATAAAAAAAAGGAAAAAAAAAGTGTACTCAATGTGAAAGTGTAAAGCAAAGAACACAGAAACAGTAATTTAAGTATAGCTTTTAAGCCTATCACGTCAGCAAAATGGAGGATCTGATGCCAAAGCTGTGCACAGGAAATGATGTGATGCATTAGTCATCCCTTAGTCATCCCTAGAGGACATGTTCCTGTACTAAGCCCGCTAAGCCAAATTTATGTGGGGAGGTGTGATGCAGTAAATTCAGTGCAGTCAGTGCTGGAGGGTCCTGCAGATGAAGGGAGAACTTACAGTGTAAACCATCAGCAGACTGGGCAGAGTTTTGAAGGTTATGAAGGTAAATGTTCAAGAGGGAAATGGTCTGAAATACAAAACGTAAACTTCTGTGACATAAATCAACCAAAATAAAGAGCTGGGGAAGAAAAAAATGTGATTAGAAAGTTTTCTGTCAGTAAATTGCGATCTTTGCATCCTCGCAGTTTTAGGATTTTGTAGATCGTTCAAGAGATTTTATTTTTTGAGATATTAGCTACCTTTCCCCTTATTTTAGGGTTTTTGTTAAGAATGTAGGGCAAAATAATTAATTCTAAGTTTAACTTTAGAGGTGAAAAACAAGAAAATTCAAACAAATAATAACCCATAGGGTCAAATGTTTTTATACAAGCAGACTGTAGTCTAGTATCTTACTGTGTTTTTGAATTCACGCATTATATGAAACAACATTTTTACACCCGGGCTTTACTGCTCTGAACCTCGCACATTGAGAGAGTTGTTACTCTCCGTAATTGGAAGCGAATTGACCACAAGCAGAATCCCAAAACTTTAAAGATTTAAAATTATGGCACATGCACGCAACCACATTTGTATAAAACATTCGAGATTGATTGCAAAAAATAATCAAAACAAAACAAAACTGTCTTTTAAATAGTCCACGGGAGCCAGTTATATTTCAAAGAGGTCATTATAGATCAAGCCCCTCGTCCAAGTAAGGGTGCTGATAAAGGACTTCTGACCAGATCAAAAGCCGTATGTGATGCTGAAGTAACACTACTTTCCAAATAATGTTTTTTTTTTTTTTTTTTAAATCAGTGGCAGAGTGAATGCAATGCTTTCAAATTCACTGGATGCATGATTCAAATGTGAAACAAAACATGCCCATCAACACACTTACCTGTACGAGAGGTACTGCTTCAGCTCTACTAGACTGGGTTTCAACATATTGACTGTACACACCAACAACACACAGTTCTAAGTATTCTACCATAGTCAGCACAGTCTGTAAGAACGGTGTGTTTTATTTGTGTTTTGGCAGTTCAGATACTTACAAACTGCAGAGGGAGTCACATGACAGCTCAGCTACACAAGGTTGAAAAACAGATAGTGGAAGCATCAGAAACAGGTGTTTTTGTTGGTATTAGGTGATAACCGAGGAGCGATTGAATATTTGGTTTAGGACGCCTGGGAGATACTGGAGTGCCAACTGGGTCTCTAGATAGCAGGGCTGAAGCAGCACCTCACATCTGTTGTTATATGTGAGCACCACTCTTAGGAAACAGAGAGGGAGAGGTTGGCTGACAAATTTTAAACTTACAGCGAGAAGCGTCGGCCGTCTGTGCACTGTTCTGGGGATTACGGTAGATGTTCTGAATCAGGATGGTCTGCAGGGGAAAGAACAAAGAAGCATGTGGTCAGACAGGATTCTTATGATTAATGCCTATTTTTGTACTATTTCTGATGACAACTTTTATTTGAGCTTGTTTTCATCCTTTTGATAGTCACACAAGATCCTTAAGCCAAAGTTAAGTTATATTGGCCCATGTTATTACCTGCATAACATTTGTACGCCACACTTTTTCCACTCGTAACATCATTTTCTTAACCACATACACAGAAGTACAACTTTGATTGGAAAAGAACAAACAAGTGAATGAAGTTCATAACTGCAAAACACACTGAGGTTAACACTGTGTACACAGTAGTTCTACATAAGTCAATATTTTAAAACAAACATTAGAAGATGTATCTCATCCACAGGGCACCTAAACTATTTTGACTCTCAGAGAGATTACAGCACCAATACAGTACATTACATTTCACCGTGGACGTGTTCACTTATTAGACTAAAATAATACATTTTCACAAACATATAAGCTTCAAATGTCATAAAGTATTCATTCAATACGGGTTAAACATGACTTGTGATAAGGGTGTGTGCCTTGAAGTGTCAGAGGATGGCTCAGAAGGTACAGTGGGTCATCCATTCATCACAGAGTTGGTGGTTCAATCCCTTGCTCTGGTCCACATGTCGATGGGTCCTTGAGCAAGACACTGTACCCCAAGTGGCTCCTGATGGGCCAGCCAGCGCCTTGGATGGAAGCTCTGCCGCCATCAGTGTATGAAAGCGCTTTGTGTCCATTAAGTTAGGACATATAAGTGCAGTCCAACAGTTATATGAGCTCCCACATTAAAGCCATTGTAAGAGGAAAAACTTCACCTGGCTGAAGGTTGGTTTGTTGTGCAATCTCGAGCAGCGGTCTCCATGTCTGCAAGCTCCGATTTTAAAATAGAACGAACAATTGACCCTGGAAAAAGAGAAATACTGTCAGCATACTATCATATTTTAAATTTGTAATACTGGTCCTAAAAGCTTACATGTCACAAATATATATATATTTTTCAAGTAACACACTGCAGTGTTTAGAAAACATTGCCAGAAGTAAATAGTGTATTTGTTGGGGACGATTTTCAGCAACGGATTTAATGCACTAATGAGTATTTAGGGCACCTGGACAGTGTAAGTGGGATTGATTCAAACGTCCCAGGTTCAGTGAAGGGACATGACACCCAGAGGTTGCTCTGGGTGTCATGTGAGGCTCAATTATGTGTTTTAAATAGTTGTTTTAGTGACAATTATGGAGCTCTTTGGCACAGACGGATAACCTAAATCTACATATATCCAAAGGCAACACTTGTTCACTTGTTTACAGAAGCTGTTTATAATATAAAAATAAAAGAATATCAGCAGACTTATCCTTGAACTACCTATTACGAGGACAACTTATTAAAATATCACTATCATTATCCAAAACTAGATATTGTAAGAGAGTTAAGTCACCACAATATTGTGTAATATAATTTCTCTTAAACATTTAAACAGATAAATAACACATTTTGTTGTATCTCCACTTATCTGAATGAATAAAATGAAGTTAAATAACTCTGCTCGGCTCTTTTTTTAACCACTTTACTGGTTTGTTTTGCTATTTCAGAGACCAATAGTCTTACTTTAAATAATCGACACATTACTACAACAAATACACACTTCGCTTTATAGTTTTTCTTCCTTCTGAATTAGTTAATTAGGAGTAGGATGCTTTCTGCTGCTCTCCACCGGTGAGACGGAACAAAACAACCCGCCTGAGGAGAGCAGCTCCTCCGCCAACAAGCTCATGAGTTAACCAGCCTTCAGGTTACCTGGATATATTTAAAAACCCTTAAAAAGTGTCCGTGTGCACCAGAAAACTACTCAACATCTGGGCAAGAGGCACATTTCGGCGCCTCGGTAGCTGCAGGTTAGCTACGGCGCCTTCCTGAGTTTCATTCAATGTGTTAGCTTCGCGTTAGCTTCCCGATGCTAATGTAAACTTGATGAGGACGTTCAGGAGAGCTGCGGCTCCGAACTGAGTCCCCATGGCGACGGAGGAGACCCGCTGCAAGCATACTTTGTGTAAAACTAACCTTCAAGACGCTGAATGCAATATATATTGAATAAAACTTACTTGTCTTTCTCTGTGCCGAAAATGGATGCCAGGTACTCCGCCATTTTCGGCTCGTCGGGGACGTAGTGTTGTACGTCATTACGTAAAGGGAGTGCGATTGCGCAGTGGTTACCACCCGATGACTTGTAGTGACCCTGAACGCCACATCTCCGCGCTGTTGTTCCACAATTATTTGATTTATTTCTCAATAACACTGATTTTCTACTCAACTCAAATAACTTCTACTTGTGTTTTCCTCAATAAATCGCTACAGTTATTCAGTTTTAATCTTCTTACCTGAGATGTACACAAGAACAGGTGTTTCAGTGGTGGAAAAGAAGGCCAATACAAATACACCAAGTTGCTCAGTTTTTCATTTCTCTTGTAAGATATGATGCTGTGGCACACAAAATATTCGGAATATAACGTGTAAAATTTGCTTAGTAATAACAATCCAAAAGTTAAATCTATAGATTATATGCTAAATGTGGTACTAACACTCTTAAAGTCTATTCTGAGTTGTATTATGAGGCCTACATATAATTCTGTACTAGTACCTAAGTAATATTGTTAATTGCAGCACATTTACTTTTAGGCTAATGGAGTATTTTTACAGTAAGGTATCTGAGTACTTAAGTAATACGATAGGTAAGTTTTAACATGAAAAACATAAAAAAACTCTTATACAACGCATCCTTAGGGTCAGACCACATATAATATGACAGCAAGTTGTTAAAGGTGGGCCTATATTTTACAAATATTAAAGTACTTTTAACATTTTGAATGCAGGACTTTTACTATGTATTTTACTAGATGCTTTACCCATTAATTAAGTTTTTATTGCACATAAACCTTCTTCAGTTTTTACTCTTTGTCTTCCCACAGTTGTACAGAATATACTTTTCATTAAACTAATTTAATAGAGAAATATTACTATTTATCTGACAGCTACATTGCAGAATAATATTTTCCACGTAAACATACAGGGATCTCGTAATATGGTGCAGAGTTTACAAAGTTTACTGCGCTGATGTACTTTTATTTGGGTGTTATTTTTGAATGCAGCACTTTTATGTGAGTATTTTTTTCCAGTTTCTGTTCACTGTGCTTATTTCTCCAGAGTTTTAAAGGGACACAAATTTGGGGATTTACAGATTAAAAAACAGAAAGGAAGCAGCAGAGCCTAATATATCCTGACTGTTTGTCTTAAGTATAGGTCACAGCCACAAATTATTTCCCATAATACAGCTCAGTTGAATCTCTTCACCTCCTGACATCATCAGGGTTATTTTTTTTTAGACATTCAAAAACTCCCTCTATAACCACAGAACACATTATAGAGCTTGTCTTCACAGCCTAAATACTGCCACAAACAAACAAGGTGAGCATAACTGGCAGAGCGGTTCTTTTAAACCTGAATGCTGCTGACTCATTGACAGATTTAGAAGTCCAGAGGCGAGTGGTGTTGCCTGATACCGCACACATCAACAGAGTGGGCATTAAAGAAGTCTCAGCTCCTCTTCAGTGCACTGTATATCCTCCTCTGAAACCACATCGCTTTGCACAAGGCCGCACAAGTTTGCAGGAGACGCAGATGGTGAAGATGAAAGGACAGGAGAGAGGAGAGGAAGTCAGCCTGAGGAGGGTGAACCACAGACACTGCCAAGAAGTGATGAAGCTGATGTCAAGGTGCTCAGACTGAAACAAGACTCGGAAATGAGAAGACAAGTCGTAAATTCTACAGATGGTGACAGAGGGCGATTGTAGTAAAACATGAGGTCTTTGCTCAAGCTGTATAGTAGCAGGGTGAGCCCCTGAAAACGGTGGGAACCCCCTAATCTGAGATGTTTAACTGCATTGGACCTGTAACGTTTGCAGAAGCGAGACCACCCACCGACCCTCCACTGCTCTCACCGCCCCTACTTTAAAGGAGAAAGAGGCAGAGGTAGGAAGGGAGTGAACAGAGAGCAGAAAGAGGAAGCAGCATGTAACAAATATCTCCGACCTCAAACTGCAGAAGTTCTCTTTTTTTTAAAATTTAAATCGCATAACGATGTGCTCGGAGGAACATTTCCCACTTGGACTGTCTGTGAGTGGAAGATGACGGGAGGTTTTCTGAGCGTCCCCATCATGAGGCCTAACCACTGCTGGACCATCCTGTATGTGTCCATCTTCGCAGTGCTGCTTCTCACCTTGAACGCTGACAGTAAGTTATTTTTATTTTTTTTGGTGCATATTGTGCTTTCTCAGTGTTTGTGTAGTATTACTTGTTCTTCCTCTGGAGGTCTGTGATGTGTTAAATCAGGCTTTTTCACTGAAAAGTCAGCTTATTTGATTCATGAGTAACCACTATCTAAATTCTCTGGTAAGGCCTGGTGTTTGTAAAGGTCATGGATTTTTAGATGGCCACACAGGATATAGATTTAAAATGTTAAGTATACAGGAAGCTCATACAGTTCTTAAAAAGACCTAGTCAGCGTTCAGTCACCTCCCAGTGAGTTTGTAAGTGGTAACCGATATCGATAATCGTACGCAGAATGTGATTATTACTTAATAATCCTCCTTTAATTCCATATTCCTCATGTGTTTGTCTGGAAAATATGTAAATTTCACCATGAAAATGCCATAATGTCTGTTACAGATAATGAAAATCTACTTTCACTTACTTTCTTCCACAACAGGAGGGTGTTTTTCACTCGTGTGGGAGCATGATGGAAATTATTAGATTTGATACAAACATAAAAGAGTAAGAAATATTGTTAAAAAGAAAAACTTACTCATTAGTTTTATCAATCGTCTACCCACTCAATGTTCCTTGTTCCTTTGTAGTGCTGATTTAGATAAGGAAGGTAATAGTTTCTATAATTTCCCTGAAATACGTCGTCCCTCATTAAAAAAAATCTAAAAATGGCCATATAAGTGATTTTATTCACAGTGTCATTCATCTACAAAGTCCAATCTGTGGTTTTCTTGTGCTATAAGATAAGATCAGATGTTCCTTTATTGATCCCCACAAGGGAAATTCAAGTTGACACAGCAGCACAGGGGAAATGTAGTGCACAAAGTGTAAAAATACAATAAAGAATAATAAAATAAGAATATTATAAAGATATAATAGAACATATAAACACTATATGGAGTAAACAATACTAAATATGGTGTGCAAAAATATTTTAAGTAGTGTATAACTGACTGTACTCGTGCAATTATTGCAAGGTGAAGTAGAAAGAGTTTGTGCATTGCAGGTCAAAGTTAAACAGTCTCTATCAGCGGTGGTTTGAGTTATAAATATTAACAGGTATTTAATGATACATGTTTGTGGTAGTGAGCCACAAACAGTTAAAAATAAACTGTGTTAAAGACTTAGCAGGTAGTTTTGAATGCTCACCACATCAGGATGAAAGTGAAAAAACATTTCAATCAACACATCTGAACACAAAATAACTATTTTTTTGAAAATCAGTATTCATAACTTGAGAGAAAAACCTCTCCAGGTCCAGTTTGTAGCTGTTCTGGAGCTTTTTGGTCACTAGCCCTGAAAACCATGTCTCTCCAGAATCTGATGATTTGTAAGTGTTCAGATAAATTGAATGGTTGAAGTCTTCCTGTACTTCTATGAAATGTGCAGCACCACAAAGCTGAGAGATGTTTTTGGTTTCGCTCATGAAAAGTCGACATTTTGCATATGCAGAAGAGCGACGGACCGTGGATGTATAGATGTTTAAATTTCCGTTTTAAGATGTCTGAAAGCTCCAGAACAACCACTAAATGGACCTCGTGGTGAGACCGTTTTGTCAGCAGCTGTTTTAAAGGTCGAGAATGAACTCTGAAACTCCACATTCATGAACCGTGGAACACTTACTGACTGTTAAATTGACACAAAAGCTGCAGACTTCAGTGATTTATGCAAAGTAATCAATGAATGAGGGTCTGTAACAGGTGATATGTGGGTCTGAAGTTCCCCTTTGAGACGTTGCGAGTTGGATGGCGTTCACTCTCAGTTCCTTCCCATGCAAACTGTGTTTCCACACATCACAATATGAAATGTCACAGAGTTTTATATTTTCATTTTTACTGCATTAGGTATCAAGTCAAGCTCTTTGGATTTTGTTTTTATTGCAGAATGTTTGTTTTTTGTATAATTAGTGTTTTACCATTAGCTGGTATCAGTTTAAATTTACATCACAGCATTGCAGTAAACTATCAAGAAAAGGTGAATTAACTTTATTCTGTTTTTGAAAAAAAAAAAAAAAAAAAAAGGGTAAGGGGGGTGGAAGGGGGGGAAAAAAAGAAAAAAAGGCTATTTTTTTTTTTTTTGGCTGTGGTGTGGGGGGGGGGGGTTGTTTTTTTTAATGGGGGGTCACCTCTACAAGGGGGGTTTTCCAGGCACCCCAAATTAACCTATTCTGTCATTTTCCTTTTGCAGGTGAAGATTCAGACTGTGAAATTGAACTGAGAGTACGACGCCACACAGTTTTTAATGTTTCCTCTGGGCAAGACTTAAAGATTAACTGCACAGTTCGTTTCTGCAACGACTCACCACCAACAGTCTCCTGGTATAAATTTGAGAAAAGTGATGTTCCTGTCAATGTGAGCAGTGGCGGACACATTAAAACAGAGTGGGAAAAAGTAAAACATTTGGAAGGAATATCATATTTGATCTTCAAAAACATTCACATGAGCGACTCAGGTTCATATCAGTGTCGAAGTGGTCTCATTATGGGACACAACATCAACGTCTCTGTCAATGGTGAGTGGGACTTCTTTCAGTGATTTAATACCTTGAATAAACAAATACATTCTGGTTTCATTTAGAAGTATGACACATTTCTGGCACTAAATGCTCTTTATTTTACGGCTGTATTGTTTTATAGATGCTGATCTCCCCAATGTTACACAAAAGACTGAAACAAGTAAGATATCTTTATAATATATATATATATATATATATATAGATTTTAATCTGAATCCTAAAACATTTGTTTTGTTCTTTCAAACACCGTCTATAACTCTGTGTCCTCTATTACGTAGCTTTAAATGCATAAAACACACTCATGTTGAACCAAACTTCCTCTTTTTCTCGCAGTCAGCACAAGTGTGACATCTGATCCCCCCAATGATGACAATTGGATGTACGTGTACACTGCTGCTGGGATAGTGGCCTTCGTCATCATGGTGATAATTATATCTGTGGCATCAATGCAAAGCTGTAAAGGTGAGGTGTTTTATTTATTAAAGGTAAAATACCACCACGTATTTTTGTACATTTGCCATACAGGACATGATCTTGGCTCTGAAAACTGTAACTCATTTCACCAAAATGTCATCATGCAGGGAAATCAAAGAAAGAGACGCAAACTGATAATCAGGTAGGACAAAGATATATTTCACCTCATCCCTCTTCATGTTTTTATTTGTTCAAACATTTAAACACCTTTTCTGGATGTTTGCAGTACATGGCAATCGCCATGGTCGAGCAACCCTTCCCGCACCCCGGCCTTCAGGGTTCACCGAGAGGAAGCCCCGCTCCGCCGCCATCTCGGAGATCTACCCGGAGAAAGACACCGCCCTCGCAACCCAATGAGCTGCCGTTACCAGGAGACAACGAGCACCTTTACGGCAGGATACCAGAGGACAGAGAGAGACAGAGGAATACGGCGGAGGAAGAGGGCTCTGTAGTGTACGCTGCCCTCAACCATCAGCTTCCTCCTAGGGCCGCTGCTCGACCCCGGAGGCCGATGGAGGAGTGTTCAGAGTACGCGGCGATCCGTGTGAAAGACCGCTAGACACTAGAAAACCATTGACGAACATTTCAAACTGGTACATCCTAGAGGAGCTCAGACATCCCACCCAATGTACCCTTTAATGTAAGCGCTAATATTAGCATCTCCACTATTTGGTCAGTACTTTAAAGGCCCTGTACACCTCATGTATCTGTGATAATGGATGCTCTTCAAACCAAGCCGAAACTGGCACAAACCAGCACACTTTGACTTAAATCAGTCGCAGTGACACTTCACATCACTGAACAGATTAAATGTACCAAAGCATCAATACCACCTGCTGCTGTTTGATCATTAGCTGATAGAGATTTAATGGCAGAGCTGTTGCCCCATAAGCTGTCCGCACTCTCAACCAGTACGACCAAATGAAGCACAGCCAGCGATGGCCCTAACAGGTGCAACAACAGAATTAAGCCCTGTTTCCACCAAGCAGTTCAGTTTGCTACACATGTTTTGGGTTTCCATTGTCAAAAGTTGTGGATGGTACCAATAGAACCACTCTGTTGCTGTCGAGGAAGCTAGCAGTTGTTTTTCAGCAGTTTTTTGTCAAACAAAGCTCATTTCGTTGTTGTGGGCTAATAAACAACTGCATACCGTGTGTGCATGTGCAAGTGAGAGAGAGAGAGAGAGAGAGAGAGAGAGAGAGAGTGAAAGTGCCTATTAATAGAAGAGGAAAAGAGGAAAAGGTTAGCAGTAAGTGGTCAGTCACTGCGGTGGAAACCAAATTTAGAGCGTAGGCACGTGTAGGTAAGGGGGTCTGAGGTACTGTACTGAAAGTGTCTGATGGAAATGAGGCTGAAGGGCAATTACAGTCTCAACACATCTGCATAACTGTACCACAGGGCTTTTAACATACACAAGAACGGAAGGAGATGTCAGACAAATTACCCATGCAGCGCAGAAGCTGAGCAGCTTGAGTATGTTTTGTTGAATTGCTAACATCGTGAATTTTCCACCTTTAACTCCTCTTTATGCCAACAATTCAGAGAAAGGTACTTATACTGGTTCAGCTATGAGGTTGCCTTGCTGGTGCAGGATTTAAGTCATACAAGAGTCTGAGCTACCAAATTACTGGTGCATCATCGCCCCTCGCTGGGATATTAAGAGAGCTACAGACAATACAAGTTATAGGATAAGACTGATGATATTCTGTCTTTTTCTTATTGTCAACAAATCCCATAAAAAAAGCATCCTGCTAACAAGCACCGTGTGTATTCAACACCTGATACATCTCCCTCCTCTGTGCCGTTAAGCTCTATTATTGTCCAAAAACTTTTAAAAACACATGAATGAGCCACATTGACGTGTTCCTTCATCACCATGAACACACGCACTGTAGTTCACATTGACTCAATCGCACACTGCTGTAAAAACTCACTAGAACACTGAACTGTATTAATCCGCAGCTGAAAATAGTCCCTAACAAATTCAGCATTTACTCCTGTAAACATCACTTGTTTTCAAAGCTTTACGTCTTCAGTAAGAACCCGTGTGTTTGGTGCTGAGTACCACAGACAAGAGTGTTGAGAGGTGGATTTGTTAACAATAAGACAAGTATAGTTATAATCACACCAGCCTTGTCCTGTGTAAATCTGCACCGTCTTTTATCAAACTAAATGTATTTTTATAGAATCTTTGCAAACTGTCTACAACTAATACGGATTGTTTGTGATCTGTGATTTGTGGTTTGAATGTTTTATGTCTGTAAACTTGTGCTGTTGCACATCCGTGACTTGAATTTATCTTGCTGATGACATTGCGTATGAAAACAGTAATGGTTTCATGACCTTACAACTTGTATCATATCAACTATTGACTCATTTTCTGACTATATGAATGACTACTTTGTAATTATGTGTTTCACAACCTTTTAGAAGGATTGTGTTTCTTCACCTGGTTAATAAGAGAATGTAATCATAATCTCATAATTTTGTGCAATCAAATATCATTATGTATCTATAACTGTTTGATTTGAATTAAGATTATATGACGCAATCACCACTGAGTCGTGTTTTTCCTGTAAAATAATCAATTACCATGAAATGTTCTCTTGAAAACCCCCCACAGTTTTAGATGATACCAAATTTGAAAAAACAAGGTGTGTGTGCCAAAACGTCCCCCTTTTACGCTGTTATATGTCTGTTGGGTGTATTTGCCTTCACAGCAATCTGGGCTATGCAGAGACCAAAGACCAAGGTAATCAAAAACAGGAAGTAAAGTAAACCACAAGCCATTTACTGTGGTGTACAACGGACCTGCCATGATAGTTCCTTAACAGAACTGCTGGTTCTTGAAGAATTTCCACCATGAGACTTAACTTCTGTCTGACCGTCCTCTGTATGTCCATCTTAGCGGCGTCCATCCTCTCCGTGGAAACTGATAGTAAGTTTATTATTGTTCTGTCTACGTCGTTCACACTTAGAGTCTTTGTTACATCCTTTGTTTCGCTCAGTATTGTGTTCACAAATATGAATGAGATCAATCGTGTTTTGAGTTTGAATCAGATGCATTATGTTTATTAATATTAATGTTTAATGTTATAAATGTCATTATACCTTAAATTTAGACCAGACAGAGTACAGATATTCTCCTCGACACACCTTAAAGACTCAACACAGAAACAAACAGAAAAGACAGTAACATACACAAGCGACTACATATTATATATAGTTGTACAATGGGTCTTTGAATCGTTTGGCCCTCGTGATGATCTTTATACAGTGCGTGTAGATGTGTGGTGGAAAATATGAGCTATACCTTTAAGAGACCCATTTTAGGGCGTAGAAATTAGATTAAATTGGCTTTTTATTGGTCCGCCTATATTGTGAAAATGATGATTACGTTGTATTAGTGAAAACAAATAATGTGCTACATAAACTCGTAGAAAAGAGTAGCAAGCCCCCTGATCTAAGTCAGTAATGTGAACTTAAACGTATTTAATTTGGAGGGATTTGTTTCAGGCAGCACACAGCTCAAGGCAGAAAAGTGCTTTAACCACAAAGATACCATAAGTGACTTCCTGACCTGAATTGCCAGTTTGATGGTCACAGCTGCAGCATGACAAACCTATTAAACCTTTTTTCTGTGATCTATCTATCATTCATACTGGCTGATCATCTGCTAACAAGTGAGGATGAGCTTCCCTCTCATTTCTACTTTGTATGTTTTGTTGTTTTACTTTTGCAGGTGAAGATTCAGACTGTGAATTTGAACTGAGAGTACGACGCAACACAGTTTATGAAGTTTTCCTCGGGGAAGACTTAAAGATTAACTGCACAGTTCGTTTCTGCAACGACTCAGGACCAACAGTCTCCTGGTATAAATTTGAGAAAGGATTTGTTCCTGTCAATGTGAGCAGTGGCAGTCACATTAAAACAGGGTGGGAAGATGTAAAACATTTGGAAGGAATATCGTATTTGATCTTCAAAAACATTCTCATGAGCAACTCAGGTGTGTATCAGTGTCGAAGTGGTCTCATTGTGGGACACCCCATCAACGTCTCTGTCATTGGTGAGTGTTTTTTCTGTAATTTGATACATCTGTACTGAACTGATGCATTCTGGTTATATTTGGAAGAATAAAACACTTCTGACATTAAATGCTCTTCATTTCCACCTGTTCTAGTGAGACTTAAGACTCTGTATTGTTTTACAGATTGTGTTGAGCTCACCGATGTTACAGTGCAGACTAACACAAGTAAGAAAGATTTACAGTTTTTAAAATGTAATCTGAATCCTAAAACATGTTTGGTTTCTTCTACATAAACAATTTTTTACTGCTACTGAATAATTTCTTTAAAAGTCTTTATTTCCCAGATAGTAAGCTAGAAGATGTGATGTTGAGCTCACCAAAGTCCAATGTCCTCTTTTATTTTGCAGTGACATTTAACAGCTCTAGCCCAACAGTTCAGGACGCCCGCCTGCCATATGTGTACCGTCTGGCTGCAATCATGGTGTTTGTCATCATATTGATAATTATATGGGCTACATCAAAATACGGCTGTAAAGGTGAGACTTACAGTAGTTGTTCAGCAGCACGGACACTCGGCAGACTTCCTGCTGAAGGTCTAATCTGACAAGAAACAAAGAAATAACACAGTAACTGATCTCTCCTGATGTCTCCAAGGTGTCTGCTGTGCAGGAAGATCCAGAGACAAGTCAGATCCGAGCTGCCAGCGCTCCCGTCGTTCCTTGCGTAACACTCATGTCTATGAAAACGATCCCTAGTCCTCGTGTCTGTGCCTTGAGAGGGGATGACACACACAAAGGGCCACAGGTCGGATTCGAACCCATAGACGCTCCACCCGGTGAGCCCCTGATAGGTTAAATCTGAAGATATTAGCTCAATGATTAATATTAAAACATTTCATATGATTCATTTCAAGATTTGGACACTTGTGACTTGCGTCTGATTTAGTCACATTTTTACTGACGTGTGTGTTAAATGAGTTTATTATAGCTTGGTTTTGTTGTTATGTTTTATATTCTTTATTTGGTTTTAATGGCTTTATAATAATCAATGACAAAATATGATGAACGTCTTAATAATGGTGCGTTTACTGTCATGAATAAGAATGGGTCTTACTGTTGTCTCCATTTTTGTTCTTTTGAATTCCTGTAAATTAAAATGCAACGATACAGAAGTGAAATTTCTTATGTGAGAAACCGCTATTGTTCTACCGAAGCTGTGTGTATGTGTGTGTGTGTGTGTCTGTGTGTCTGTGTGTGTGTGTGCAGAATGTAACACATTCACAGGTGAACAGTTTTGCTTCCTGTACAGGTATCAATCTTTGTGCGCACATCCGGTGCAGATATTTCTTTTTAAAAGTGATGTGATGTCTGTTTATCTGTGCTGGTGTCTGCGTGTGTGTGTGTGTGTGTGTGTGTGTGTTTGTATTTGCAAACCTCTTGTTCTTTGTGTTTTCCTTTTGATGTCTATTGAAGCAGCTTCTCTTCTTGGGTACAATATCTGTCGTGCACTTTGGGAGCAGACAGACTGTCGACTGACGAACAGGAAGCAGAATTAAAACCACACGTCACATGAACAAATGTAAAGTCAAAGCCTGGAAGCTGTGCTACAGTTAAAGGATATAAATCATAAACTTACCTCTGTGCTCATTTTGAGACTCCAGCTCACATTTTACCTGTTGAAAAAATAATTTTTAAGTCAATAAATTTTATAAAAGTACATTGTTTTAAACAGTCACTAGAGATTTTATGGTATTTTAGTCTGGAACAAAGTGGTGAACTGACCTCCGCTGCCTTTATAGTATGGATGAAGAACTGGAAAACAACAACATCTTTAATGTTTTACTGAGGAATTTGGTGGGAAGATAAATAACAACCAGGATAGTTATTAGTTTACTAGTAAGCTCATTTAGCAAAGCCTTTAATGTGTTTATCCTAAAACAACAATAAAGGTTAGTTTAGCTGACATTATTAGCATCTGAAAAGCAAACGTAAACACAAAAAAATCACATTATTGACTAACATGAGCACAAAAAACCCCCAGTGACACTGAATTTAAAAATATCTTTGGCATTTTAATATAATTATAATAATATTTTAATATTGGAAGCACACATAGGCCTACCCTTTGGATTGTGTCTGCACTTTCGCACACATTATATGTAAATTACAGTTTTGCACGCTAAAATGTTTGAGTTTAACATTTTCCACTCTGAGAGCAGATTGGGGGGAAATTATTGTTCTATTTTAGCTCATAACAGGCTCTTGCACTGTCCCACCCTGAATGCAGGAAATGACACCTTTCAGTTCAGACTGAAACCAGCCAAACTGAACTAAAACGGAACCATTTCATTTCTACATCAGGAACCGCATCGAAGAATTATTGTTAGAGACAATTAAACATTATTTGTGGATTAAAATTAGTATTAAAGAACAGAACATAACAAGGTACTTGGATTTATCCTCTCTGAACACATACATACCATTACACTATTTATTTCTAACACCGGCGTGACCTCCTGATTTTGTGGCAACAAACGTGAGGTAACCACACTGATTGTTTGATAAGGCTTTGACGTGTGTCAAAAGGGAAGTAGTTTGCAGCTCGTTAAATGGCCAACAGACATGATTGATAAGTGATGTGCAAGACTGCGTGGAGAGTGAGAGCGGTGATAGTGGGGAGTCGGACGTGGAGTGCATGGGCTGCATGAAAACACGTGGAGCACCGTGGCCCGTGGGATGTGCTACCTCTGTGGTTTTGAAAGTGCTATAAGCTGACGTACATTCGCTGCATTCATGTCTGCACAATCTGGCACAGCCACTAACTCTCTCTCTCTCTCTCTCTCACTCTCACACACTTGCACCCCACCCAACATCAACACATCAACGCTGCATCGCCCACCAGCCACAATGTGACACATGGAGGTAGAGAAGCTCATTGCCCCCTTGTGAGTTCAACACAGGAAGGTACAGAAACTGGTGTGTGTGTGTGTGTGTGTGTGTGTGTGTGTTTTCAGCTGTTATTGAGTGTCAACACCTTTCCCAGTCAGGTTAATTCCTTCATTATTATTATATATTATTATTTAGCTGCAGTGCAAATGCAGGAATTGTGAGGAAAAAGTATGAATTAATGCTGGATGGGATAAGGGAAACACTTTTTACTTTAAGGAACATTTAACAAGGTCGCCATCTAGTGGTGAGAAGGCTTCATTCAGGCGAGATGATTTCTTAACTTGGTGATATAAGGCTGTAAAAATCTTTTAAAAGGAAGGTGAGTGATTACTGGAATCATTGCTTCCTATAAGTGTGACTCCATAAGCATTAAAAGCCTCAAAGGGACAAAAAACAAACACTACTGATTTTATTGTGAAGTCCTCTTAAGGTTTACACACAGTTTCCTCCAGATAAGCCTCCATGTTTTTATTAATAGTCATAATTATTTGCTTTAATGACATCAGTGGAATAATAACAGTTAAAATGAAGCTGTCAAATACAAAAGTGCCTCCGAGTTTCAAAGGAACTACTTACCCTTTCCTGTCTTTGTGAGGTTTGCGAGAAAAACACGTCTTTATTTACATGTTTGGAGAAAGTGGTACAATGGTTTAATTCAGACTGCAGAGCTCATTTCTAAAACATTAATACAATATCAGATGAAAACAGGAGCACTGAGAGTTCCTTCCTTCAGTAATCCACAGTGACAGAATTTAAGTATCTGATGGTGACTTTAATGGTTCCCTAACTGTTTACCATTAATAAACTCAAGTAGGCTACCTTTCACTGACACCTCATGTCCCAAATGTGTTCATCTGAACTGCTTTTAGACTGGATAATAAATATACAACCCATATTTTACAATATATGTTTTATCCATTAATATTTAGGTTTATTTGGTCAGCAGTTTGCATACTAAACTTTTACTTTGAGTAAATCTGGACATTTAAACTTTATATTAGCTGATATATATTTTAAGAATGATGTATTTCAGCTGTTAATTAATTACTTTTAGTTGACTCTTTAAACTGTTTATCTATGAGCTTATGTGAAGCAGTGTTTTTTCCCCAATCAGCCTACTTTTAGCTAACTATTTCACCCGTTTATTGTGTTTAACTATAATATGTGGACTATTTATCCATTACCTTTATCAGTGTTTGTCATGTATCTTTGACTTGCTATTTCAAAATGTTTTTTCCATTATTTTTAGCCAACTGTTCAACTTCAACTAGTTTTCATGTTCTCTAAATTAATGTCCAGGAGCAAACTCATTTTTTTAAAATTAGCTGAATTAACAGCACTCCACAATCTTTACGCTACCTCAGCAACAGCAGAAATACCTCTGGAGATCACTGACTTACACCAGGAGACTAACAGGTTTCTAAAATAATTTTAAATACTTTAAAAGCAGTTTCCTCCTGCAGACTTAAGGCTTTAATATCATGCCAACAATTCTTTTTCAGTGTTCTTCAAATTATTATTTAGATGTGAAACTCTATACTTTACTCATGGCTCACAACTGACTCACTCAGGTACCACCAATTCCACAACAATTGTGGAATTGGATGTCTGTTCATTTCAGGTTATTTTAAGCCTTAAATATTTGCATTGGTTAGTCACAGATTGTTTAAAAAAAGGCACCAAGATGGAGTTATGCCACTCGCAGGGTCTGAGAGTGAAACAGTACAGTCACTGGAGTGGGCAGCGGAGGAAATGAGTTTCCTATTGTGTAACGTTTTTTGTTGAGGTTACTGTACCACCCACAGTCTTCATACACCAAAACCCAACAATTTTAAAAGAATCCAAGCCAGTTTGGAGACTTCATTTACAAATTTGAGGTATAATTTGTGATGTTCTTACTCAATATCTCCAAAATACAGACTATAAAAATAAACAGCGAAACAAAAAGCAAATAAATCCTCAGGTTTTTATTTCTGATCCACTTATAACTTTAGATTTATCTTCTCAGCACCAGACTGGTAACTATTTATTGACTCTTACAGACACTAAAAAGGTGAATACTGTTCAAAAAACAAAACACTGTAACACTGAAAACATGATTATTAAACTGAAATAGAAAGTAAACAGCAGATAGACAACGTAGCTACGTTTGTTTTACTTCAATGTAAGCATTTATTAACATTTAAACCTTCTGATCGCCTTTATATACAGAAAACTTCACTGTAACAGAGGATGTTGAGTTTAATTGTTAATAGAATATATGTTTTCTTCTTATAAATGAGATTTTCTACAAAACCTTACTGTACACAGCCCACACAGGCCTATATTAATATATATCCCAAACAAAACTCTGCTGGTGCTCCCTAAAGTTCAAACACTGTACAACAATACAAACTGCACACGCACACACACACACACACACACACACACACACACACACACACACACACACACACACACACACACACACACACACACACACACACGGACAAATTACTTTCACATTTAAAACACAGACATGCAGATGTATACAAACAACCCCACACACACTCTCAGTCTCACACACACACACAGTGATTCACAGCTGCAGGGTTTCATCCACGCTGGAATCGTTTGGGCGGTGTTAAACACCGAGCACACAGGTCACAGGTCAACCACACAACACAGCAGCTATAAATAATAAACCTTTTATTCTTTCCCACCCAAACCAACCTTTCAGTCTGAATCACAACAGGACTGGTTCACTAAAAAGTTAGATTTTAGCCCCCCCCCCTGCTTCTTTTTGATTTACTGTAACTTGTAGGTCTAGTTTAAAATGGGCACCCTTTTAATCATCCCTCTTCTTGATTTGACTACCACAAATAGAGGGTTTTCAGGTGACGTAATACCCCAAGGTGGCAATTTTAGATGCCCACAGCAATTAGGGAGCAGTGGCAAAAGGACAGCGGATGAGTCTTTACATTTTCAGCCACCTTGAAGGCCCAGAAAAACAATCAGCTGTGAGCGATAGTGTCTTACATGAAGATTCAATTTTCTGCCAAACTTAAAACAGTTTTGGTTATTAGATAAAATTTCTGCGTGTCCGGGGCTGTCATATATATCCGAGCAACATTCAGGGTTGACAACACGTAACATACTTTACATTAAAATGACTATAAACACTAGACTTATGTTAAATATTTTAGTTGAGTTGTGTAGTTATCCCCAAATGTTTCCAACATCGTTCAAACTCAGAGGAAACTGTCAGTTTATTCAGGTAATGGAGAGTTTTCTCGAACTACGGGGTAAACACGGGACACGTCAACGAGAGAGAAACTTGAATAAAACTTTAACATTACATCATTTCTGCCTGAGTCACGTCAATGAAAACTCCCATGATCCCACAAAACTTCCTCTTTTGTTATCGCTTCAGAAAGGACGGTAACCTTTGTGTTGTTTTTGAATGGGAACTAACTGATTCCCCCACTTATAAGTGATGTATTGATTTCTTTAAATTTGGATTACATTAGTTTAAATTAGTAGTTTTTCTTTATAAGCTACCCATCAAAGTCGAAACACTTCAAACTGAGCAAACTCTACTCAACCTTAATTTAAAATACACACACATATATATATATATATATATATATAAAAACGTATCTGTTCAACACACAGACACACTGTAACAACCTTTTTAGGTTACAAAGCATCACTTTAGTCCGACTACCGGACCTCCGTGATCTTCATATCTTCATATCAGGATCAATCATCAAAGCAACGTTTCTACTGTAAGTGTAGTATCTAGCATTAAATAATGTGGTTTTAGTTCTGTTTTTTACTTTACTGTAAATGACAAGAGAAATGTTTGTCTGTATCTTCACAGCTCATGGGAGCAGAACCAGCAGTGTTGGCTCAGTTCTGTGAAAAAGCTCTGTTCCCTTTCCTCTGCACGCTGAGCTGGAGGGCACGGTGCTGAGCAGCTAGGTCAGGCTCAGAGATCCGCTGGACCTTCATCAAAGCAGCAGTGACGCCGGCCTCCCAAATCAGTCTGGACAGAAAGAGAGAGAGAGAGAGAGAGAGAGAGAGAGAGAGAGAGAGAGAGAGAGAGAGAGAGAGAGAGAGAGAGACAGTTAGTTGGTCAGCTTTTGTCCCAAGAAACTTTCCACAACGTTTCATTTTTCCCATTTTGCATTAATCACGCAGATCCAATCCTTCCTCAGCTGTCTGCGTGTCCTGTCAGGCTCTGACACTCCTTTTCCTGATTACACCAGTTAAAGGTTGACAACTGGGAGTCTCATCAGGCTTTCGGGAAGCCATTATTCATTAAGTGATGAGAAAACGAACACCAATATTCTCTCTACTAAATTACAGCTGATATTTTAATGTGTTCAGAGTGTGGACTGATGATTGATGCATTCAACCAAAAACAAACGAGGTTAACCTTTTCTTCTCATATGAACAACTACGCAGTTTATGGATACGTTCTGTTTGATTGATGTTAGGCTACAAGTTCTGTAATTAAATAGTACAAAGTTTTGTACAACCTGATGATGTTGATGATGTTTTATCATAATGAAAGCAAAGTCAAGTCCTAAAAATATGATGCCACTGCTCGTATTATAGATTTGTTGAAAAAGCACAAAGTTATAAGAATTAGGGCCCTATTTAAAAGCTCTATAGTGCATGGTGTCACTCTGGTAATGTTGGTTTTTATGTTTGTTTGTATAATTGATTTGTTCATAACTCGGGCCTCTGATGATTTTTTGATTTATCACCATGATGAAATAGTACAAAGAGGTAGAGTTTGACGTTGTAGTTGACAGAACATGCAGTAAAAAAACACTCTTTGTCTCTACAGGAGCACCCAGTGAGGAGTGGGAGTTTCTCAAGGCAAAAATGTCATAACGTCATGGGCAGAGGTTGAATTTACTTTATATAAATCCCACACAAGAATGCAAGAATAAACACAGCAAGCACATACACGTCTGTATGCACACACAGAGTCCCCAAAACGCCCACTCAGATCCAAAAAGACCACATTCACAATATAATGAAGCATTGCAGGAATTCCACAGACATAATTAAACGCCTGCCGCACCTTAATGTACATGTGGTGGCAATGTGAGTTATTTAGAGGTGGCTCACTTAGGAAAAGTCTATAAGCTGAGTGTGCAGCCTAAAAGCCAATTAGAGCAAGAGTGACGAGTTAACTCAGCTGACAGAGAAAATCTATCAACACTACAGAGGCCGGAGAGAAATGGTTCATTACTAGAAGACTTTTAAAGTTAAAAGTGGTTATTTTTTGCAGCGCCGCGAGCAGCAAGAGTCTCCTTCACTTCGTTTATGTTATATGTTTCCCCACCTCTAATCTCTAAAGAGCGATCAATGCGAACCCTCAGTTCTGCCCTCATCATTCAAGGGGTCGACCGTGTTTGTGTGCTGGACCGGATGTGGTCACTCCCCCACACTTCCTGTGGTGCCCCAGATTGAAGGGTTGCCATTGAAAACATCGGCTTTCAGGAATAAAAAAGGGGTCTTATCTGTGGTTAACTTCCTGTGCTTGTAGCTGTGCCACCGCCGTACCTTATAGTCTGTACATCTCCGCCCGGCAAACACCAAAAGAACACAAATAGACCAGCAGAAATTTACTGGAAGAACCTCAGGCTTTGGCCCCCAACTTCCCAGCCACAATTGAAGCAGGCAGAGGCTAAATTACGCCCACTGATTCAGAAAGAGCCACAAAAGCCTCTGTGGCCGGCCCGCGGTTCGACTTCTCCCACAGACATCACAGCTTTTGTAGGCCATCCACAGCGGGTTTCGTCTCAGACGCACTGTAAATATTTGTCAATGTAGATTTACTTTCAGATAGCTGCTCGAGGAGATTCCGTTTTTAAAGTGTAATGTACTCAAATTACAAAAAAATATCATGTATTCCCTCTTAGTGGTTTCTAAACTATGCAGATTGTTTTGGATTTACAGTATTTGCAACGTTTTTTTAGATATTTAGCTGTGAGGTTTGTGCCACCACTTCAATACAATTCCTACAAGACAGTGGTTCCCAACATTTTTCCTCAAGGGACCCTTTTTTTTTATCATTTCGTAAACTGACCACTCCCGCTTAAGTGACGTATTTTATAGATATTTCATATTATATTTAAAACAAACCCAAACAGTGAACTCAGTAACTGCAAGAGGTTTGTGTAAAATTAGATCTGGATGAATTTTGATCAGATTATTTTTTGGGAACTTTTTATACAATTCTCTGTCTGTACTGTAGTTTTTTTTAATCATTATTAACACTTATACAGACTTAATAGGCTTCTTTTAGGACAAATTCAGTGTTTTCTTATTTTCTTTATATCAGACAATTTACTTTACATTTTCCTTTGTGTCTGAGGATATTTTTTCAGTTTTCTAGCGTGTCTTAAAATCAGGAGGCCTCACATCCCCCCATGAAGCTTTGGCGACCCCTAGAGGGGGTCCAGACCCCCAGGTTGGGAACCACTGCTATAACAATAAATACTGATTCCTTCCCTCAAATTTGAACTTAGATTGCTTCTGATTTTGTCACAAACGTTTAATGTTGTAGGAAATAAGCACGTTTTTAGGGGCTTTAAAGGGTTTTCATAGGGATTACTCTTTGGTAGTAAGTTTTAAGATTATCCTAGTGTCTCTGGAAAGCAGATTTTTTTTTTTAAACCAAAACTATCTGCATGGCTTGAACCACAGTGGGAGACATATATTACATGTCTTTCTGTAACTGAGATGAACCAATCCTTTAACTATAACTACCTTTATTCATTGTGTATCACCAGCCATTGCATTGGTGTTAAATTTAAAGTTAATATTGATGTTAATACAGATTGGATCACACATATCCTGTGAGATAAGAGGTGTGAAACCCTGCTGCGGGTGATAACATCCACAATATGGTCTCTGCAAGCTGAGTGTGATTAAAAAAGAAAACATATGACATAGGAATCAGGTCAGCCCCAAATAAGGACTTGAGACACTTTGCATCACAGCTCTCTCCCCTTTGACTGCAATCTGAATCACATCACAGTAAAAGCCTGTGTTCCCGGCACATCTCAGCCAAGCCAAGACTGGGAACTACAGAACGTGTGTGTCAGTACAGTCGATTGTTGTTATCAACTGGGCAAGCTTTCAACTTGGGACTCACTGCTCCCTCCTCTGGGCCCCAAATGTCTGTCTTCATCCACAGTCCACAGGATTAGACACAGAGAAAGAGGGTCTTTTCTTCGGGCCGCTAACTCAAGACAATCAGCAAAGCCACTTGTTATTCTGCTCAGGATCCACGGAGTTGGAAAGCGAGGAAACTTGGGCAAAGACCTTCAAGAAATGTGGAAAGTCTCAAGCAAGCAGGGAGCTTCTTTTTTTTTTTTTCGTCCTGAGAAAAATCTATTTCTGCAGCGAGCCAGCTGCAATCTCTTCAAGATATCCCATCCTGAATCCTGGACACTTGAGCAAGATCTTGTCCAGCACAACACTATCAATCACATACAGTTATTGAGAGTGTCAGGGCTCATGAGTTAGGGATGTGAGAAAGAACACAAACACACTTACATCAACAGCATGATTGAGGCCTTTGTTTTGTGCGACCCATGTGGGCGTATGTTGGTTTTGGAACTTGAGGTGACGAGGAATGTAGGAATTAAAGCGATGTGTCGCTGGGTTTCCATCTTTAAGACGTTAGGAAAGTGGCCGTATGCTTTCTTATCGCACAAGAAAAACAAAGATGAGGAGGAGCCGAAGGAAAAAGGAAACTCATGAATCTTCTGATTGAGGTTTTAGGAAATGCATTGTTCTAGGAACCTTTTAAAGGTGGGTCATATATATCAAATATAAACTATATTCATTGGGATTTCTCTCTCTCTTGCTTGACACAAAAGCCCATATTAAAGTTAAATCGTACGTTGCCAAATCGAGAGCAGCCGTGGGACCGCCCTGACCTTGAGACATCAGCCCCCACTTTTGTTTTTCTTCCTTTACGGCCATGACTTTTGTTTGGCCGGCAGAAGCACCAACGTCAGCCAAAGCTTCGGTCAATGCCGCAGTAAGTTTGGTTTTCCCTGCCTTCTCCTCGGTGGGCAGAACGTCTCTGATACAGGGGAAGTGGGCAGCGGTCCACACGTCACATTACGCTGGCACCGCAGTGTTTCTGTGACACCCAGAGAGGATTGTGCGAAAAGGTGTTAACAGGAGTCAAAGGGAGTGTTGATGACACATGACCAAGCATCCACCCTGACACTTAAGTGTGGAAAGTAGCTGTGAGCCCTGTGAGGTGACCTTTAGCATGTGCTTTCAGAGAAATGTGAGGCATTTCATGGTGATGATGTTCTTGTTCTTACTCACTTTATCAACATGCACCTACGCCAAATCCACTTCCTCTTCTTGCCGAAAAAACTGTTAAAACAAAATGTTCTTTTTTGACTGTTTTGAAAAGGCCTTGTTGGATGCAATGGCCCCACACTGCCAATGATTGTATGACTGTAGTGTACTGACGGCCTGACACACCCAGTCTACAGTCTGGTTGGTGCCACTGGACTACCGCTGGGCTACAGTTTAATGTCTGTCCCTGCTGGAAGTAGCCACTGACTTGATCTGACTGACTACACAGTATAACAAATGATTGATTTAAACCATCAAGTGTGGTTTCTTCTTATATTTTGTCTTCCAGCAAAGCTTTACAACAACTTTAATTTAAGATTATGTTTTGGTGAATTTATGCTTTTTTTGGGTAGGAACAGAGGCAGACAGGAACTGGTGGAGAGAGAAAGGTTTGATGCAATTAAGTTTGCTGGCTGTATTAGAATTGGCAACAGTTGCGACCGTGTGGACGTGCAGCATGTTCTGCAATCATTTGGCTAAGGCCCTCCCACAATTAACATTTTTTAAATTCTCAACTTTCTGAAATGTTTTTGGGATACAGACTAATTTAATTTCCTCTCATGCAGCTGCAAAACATTATGTATTTGATCAGCTGGGAGCGCCAGATGGTTTGTTACATAGGACTATCTGGAAATTGATCATTGGAAATTACTTGGAAAAGGGCAGGGACTTTCAAATCATACACAGCATCTATCTGACTCTTCTAAATCCTTCCACTATTTGTTCACCAGCTAGTCACTTTATTTTCTTTGGTAGCAGACGGTGCTTGGAAATTACGCTGATAAGAGCGGCAAGAGTGAAGCAAAACTATAAAGGTGAGGGCCGGAAAACCAAAACAGTGAGCTGAAAGACGCTATAAAGCTCCGTAGAGTTGAACGATAATCCTCTGTGACACAGCTGCAGGATTGTCTTTGCTCAGCTTCTCTGAGGTCGGCTTGTCAGCTCATAAAATCCAAGGATGTTTTCTGTTTATGCAACCAGAAGAAATGTGAACAGTTCACCATAAGCATGACAATGACAAGAGGCACTTAAAAGTTGGCCAGCACAGCGGGCCACAAGATCAACAATACACTACATATCAGCTGAGTATTTTTCTCCCATGATGGAGAGCCTGTAATTAACAAATGCTTATAGAAAAGACTGGATTATATTAAAACACCCAGCCTGTTTTCTCAGTTCCTGTTATTCTTACAGTCACAGTTACAGTCACTCCTGAGAGCTGCTCAGTAAAAACACCCGTGCTGAACTCTGAAGCATTTAGGATCAACATTAGGAATTTCTCAAAGTGCTTCTTTTTCACTTTCTTCACCCACGTTTCCCTGAATAAGCTGTGCCACCGAAATCTGCAAGGGGAAATCCACCTTCAGATACTTTCATAACAGCAGTTAACGTATTTTTGATGACATGCTCTAATTTACTCTTTTGCAACCACCCCTTGCACTTCCCAGAATGCCTCTGGAAAACCACCAGAGTCAAAGGCATGCCCTCGCTGCATACAGCTGCAAGTGAACACTCGTATTTCACCAGCACTGTTTCCTGTTTTAGTTGGATTCAATCAAGCTGCAATTAAACGACACCTCAACAAAAACAACAACAAACCTAAATACATTTTCGAAGATGAGTCGATGTGGCTTGAAAGGGTAAACGTGGTGCTTTTGTGGGATGTGAAGATGCAGAGTTGAGACTCACCGTCGGTGCAGATGAAGCACTTGCAGAGACACACACACAGACACAGGAGGAGCACCGCTGCCACACCGCACACTGAGAGGAGGATGACCATGGCTGGACCCACTACAGCACACAAAAACACAGATTTACACCAAATCACTGTTTATGTTTTAAAATTACAGCGTGTGCGTTCGTGACATCTGGACTAAACATGTTAGGTGATGTGGTACGAGAAAAATAATCCTTCTCGTATGCTGCGACATTACAGGATTCAGGACCCCATCAAAGCAGCCACAATTACCCGTGATCAAAATAGCTGAGAATACACACATGTGGAAAACAAAAGCCTTCTTTCTACTGTACCTCAGCACACAAGGATGGGAAGGACAACTTACACATTCTGGCAGCATTTTGAGAGCCTTGATTGTGCATAGTGTTATTTGGATTTTATCAGTAAAACATGTTGTCAGAAGCTTACAGCGTTTGTTGTGCTGTAAGGATCACCTCCACAGGGTTTCACTTACTGTGTTAGAGTGCACAGGCTTTGCTTCCGGCATTCAAAACTTTAGCTGGTTCAGATGGAGCTAATTCCAACTAGGGGTCGGACCCCTCCGAAGATAAATGATAAATCTGAGGTGATTAATGGGATAGAAGAAAAAATTAAGTTCTGCAATGCTGCTGGTTTCCTTAAATGTTCCCCCTTTTTTGTGAAATATTGCATACTTTTACCTCAAACAGTTATTTAAATTAAAAGTCAGGTGTGTGTCATTTAGTGTGTCTTTGGGCCTTGGAAGGGGAGGGTGAGGTGAGAGCGTTGTAATCTGCAACTACACCACTAGATGCGACTAAATCCTACACACTGGACCTTAAATCCATCTAGAGATAGTCAAATATAGGAGCATAAAATTAAAATACTCAAGTACCTCAAAGCTGTACTTAAGTTCAGTATTTGAGTAAATGTACTTACTTATTTCGTCATTATGTAGGAGGATCACTAATAAATACTCTTTATCAGTAGTGTAAGCTGTTGATAAATGTACATTAACGTAAATATCTAGTGTGTGAAATGTTTGTAACATCATGAAAACCTGACAACATTCAACCAGCTCCTCACCGTGTGCGTTGAGGGACACCGTCAGGGGTTTCTTCAGACCCTGGTGGTGCACGATGCACTTGACGGACAGGTCACTGAGCAGCCCTGATTGGAAGAGCAGCGTGCTCGTCACTATCGTCGTGCCGTCGCCCTGCTCGTAGGAAGAAGAAACGGGCGGCCCGAGCGTTCGGTTGTCCCCGCCGACGTTCCACATGATCTCCGCCGCAGGTCGGGACTGAGCGGTGCAGTTGGCCTCGGTGACTCCCGAGGGCGAGGTCGCATGGCTCACCTCTGGTTTGGGTAAAACTGGTGAAAGGGAGATTGTGTTTAATGTGCCATTTTGCATTTTATCTGAGCAACCACAGGAAACAGACAGCAGAGATTTGTTCCTCTGCCTTCAAAATGGAGATGGAGAGACGGAGCCTGTCAATCTATCTGCCTCGAGGACACAGTGACACAAGTTGTCCTCCGACAGGCCGGCAAACAGAACAGAGGCAAAGCAGCTTTTACTAACTCTGTGCTGTGTGTGTGTGTGTGTGTCTGGATCTCTGGTTCCGTCTGTTTAAGACAAAAGCTTGTTTAACAGAGCAAAGAGAAGGACACACACACGCAGAAACACTGAGGGCCTTGTATCTGGGGAAACAGTGAGCCACTCATCCCCTGGGCTTTCTCCCAAATTAATCACTCCTTTCCCCTCAGTGACACCCCTCCCTCAGTCAACATTATCTCTACACACACACACACACACACACACACACACACACACACACACACACAAGGAGGAAGATCAACAACCACTCACACTCCTGGAACATTTGCTTATGACTTAAGAGAGCTTACACTCTTTTTCACACTGTGGTTTGAACCTCTCTGGCGCAGTGGGCGCAGGATGGGGTTAAGTGTTGGCGAGGGACACGGAGCATCTGCCTTCAAAGTGGGTCAGAGCAGTAGTTTAATGACTGGACTAACTCTCACCTCAGGGCTGTGTTTATACACAGAACTTCCCTTTCCTGTGCTATATCTGGGATGCACACAGACACACAGACACACACACACGTTTTCTCTCAGCCTACAGTGTATCTCTAGTACAGTCAAGACACTTGGAAAATAAACCCAAAGTCGTACGCACAATAAAATGCAATACAAATCTATTAAACTCTCTATTAAACAATAAAATAATGATAATTTATATTGAAGTTCCACCTTGAAAAGCGTTGGTAGTGTGTCTGTTAGTCTGGTAGCTGCTAGATCTTTACCAATCTGATGAACACAAGTGGGAAGCCAGAGCTCAGAGACTTTAACGACAGCGAGAAGTAGTGGAACGAACGGAAATGTCTCAGTGTTGCTCTTTAACCCGACCTGTTCAGAACAATGTCTGGAAATACCTGACATTAGTCATCAGTAGCTTTTAATTAATTTGCAACAGCATCACCTGGGTGTGTTTACAAAAAGGGAAAATTTTACACGTGTTTATATAATGTCTTCTGTGGCTTTGGAGGAGCACTTTAGGCTCCTTTAGGTGTTTGAAAGTCCATTTATCAGATAGGTGTGTATTTAGAGCTTGAATGTATATAAAAAGACCAAAAGACAAGATATTTCTACCTCTGCTTCACTGATCTTTTGTTAATATGTTTCAAACAAGTAACCCGACATTACAGAAGTGCAATATTAAACAGCCAAAGCAGCAGTGAAAGACATAAGAGTATCTATTTGAGGAATTCTGGCTCACATGCAGCCTGATTTATGGTGAATCAACGAGGAAATAGACGGCACCCAGGTACTCACCATAAACAGAGAGGCAGGCGGTGGCGCTTTTGGTGCCGTCTGGGTATGTGTGGAACTCGCAGGTGTAGCAGGCCTCGTCCTCCGTCGTCACTGTCTGGATGGTCAGCTGGGTGTCGCCCAGGCTTCGGCTCAAGCCAACGCGACCCTTGAAATGGTCCGCTATGAAGTGGTGGTTGTGCTTGCCGTAGGAGGCCACGGTGGTGGTGTCGCCCTGCTCGGCCGTCTTCCTCCACAGCACCTGGTGCACCCTCTCTGGGAGGCTGTACCAGCAGGACAGGGTGACCGGCTGCCCGCTCACGGCCGTCTTGTTGCCCTCCTGGCGCACTGTACCTGGAACAAAGGAAGTGCTGTTATCAATACTAAATATCATGAAAGTGAGTGAGGTCCGTGTGTTAATGTGATTGTATGTTTGCTGTATTTATTTCTGCTGACATCAGATTGTACAATGAAAGATTTACAGGACTACTGGAGCTAACAGGAGGAGTCTGGTAGCAATAAAAATGTGTATGTGCACGTTTAATGGTAACAACAGGAAGTGCCAAGGCCAGCTGGGTGGGCATTCTCCCCTGCAGGTCTGGGAGTTCAGACCTTAGCTGACTACTTCCTGTCTCGTAGGGGGGTCTAAGTGGGAAAAAGAGGCTTTGTGTTTGTGGAAAAGTACAAAAGTTCAAATGTTAGGTGTGAGTTACTGAAGATAACTTGTTCTTTAAGATTACAGAAGCTAGGAACCAAAACCCCAAAATACACAACTGCGCTCTCTGATGGTGGTAGTAGTTTTTAGACATTTGGAAACCAGACTGACCAGTGACGCTGACGCACGTCTTGCCGGATTGCTGGCCCGTGGGAAACACATCAAAGACGCAGAGGTAACAGCCCTCATCATCGGGCTGCACCTTCTTGATGGTGATGTAGCTGGCGTCGTTGTGGGCGGCAGTGAGCTGCACGTTGGGGTCTTGGTGGCTGATGCGGGCCGGGGCGCTTTGCTCGTACGCCAGGAGGATCTTGTTGTGCTTGTTGTGCCAGCGCACTTGCCGGACGGTGTCGCCTGTCGCCGTGGTGACGTTACAGCTCAGCAGGAGGGGACGACCTGCCTCCACGCTCAGAGTGGCAGGAGCTATGACCTCACCTGAGTTCAGAGACAATATTACACAATACAGTCTATTATACAGATGTTTTCACATCCCTGCTGTAGTATAACTATCTGCTGAGATCATTTACTTTAGTAAAAGTAATAATATAATAATTTACAAATACTCCATTACAAGTCCTTTATTCAGAATCCTACTTGGGTAACAGGACAGAAGTATCATTATCAGTAAAATATACTTAAAGGATCAGAGATAAAAGTACTTCTGCATATTTCATTATTACTGTTATAAAATAAATCTGACGGGTTGTGAGATGATTAATGAGGAATGAACAAAGAAAAAAACAAGTTCTGATCCACAACATTGTATTAATATTTGACTTTTATATGAAATATGAAATAACTTTACCTCTCTGAGCTTCAAACACAAGAGGTCACGAAAACCACTTGTTTAATCTTTAGCAATGCATTTTATTGTGTTTTTATGTCAAATATTGTCACATACCTGTCAGACAAACATAGTGGAGTAAAAAAGTACAGTATCTCTTTCTAAATGTAGTGGAGTAGGAGCATTAGGTTCAGTATTTAAGTAAATGCACTTAGTTACTACCCCCAAAACAGCAGAACTCTCAGTTCCATGGACACTTTTTTGTCTTAAAGGCTATAAAATGAGTACCACAGTCTATTAATTGAACCAACAAGCACGGTTTGGATGCAGAAAGTACCTTGTGTCCTGGAAACAGCCGTCCCTACTATCCAGAGCAGCAGACACAGAGGCAGGGCAGGTCCACACATCGCACACTCGGGCAGGGTTACCAACTCACACTCTGACCCAGTATCACATCCAGGCTGCAGCTGCAAACACAAACACTGTCAGTCAGACGGCTCCGACCACAACCTAAACCTCAACCTGGCTTTTGGCTGCATCAAATTGGGAAAAACAAGAAGGTTAAATTAGCACAGAACAGTGTGAACGGAGAGGCTGTGGTGCAGACGTACCCGTCAGCTGTCCAGTGTTGTGACTTGTTGAGCTGCTGTTGGTCAGCACAGTTGTAGCTGCATCGTACTGGCACGCCGTCTGCTGTCATGAGGGAACATGAAGCCAGAGGATGACATTAGCAATGACAGCATCGTCAGGGATTACGCTCTTTGCTTGGCAGCGAAGGAGGAACACAAAAAGAAACCAAACTTCTCTGCAGCCATCGCTTTGGGTCATTCCTGCATCGTGGATAGTTGTCGGCATGGTAACACAATGTTTTAGCATCAACAGCAGCTGCTGCTGATTCAAGAAACACTACCTGGGGGCCTAATGGAGGTTTTTACATGTTAATAGGCAGCGTGCATCCTGCTCCTGGTAAACCAATAATCATCAGGGAGCAACACAAGCCGCCACTTTGATGTCTAGACAATGCCAAAAACCTCGAGATTTCAAAATCGATACCTGAAATCCAACCTCAAGGAAATTACAGTCATCACATGATGATGCAAGGGAGTGGTGAGGAGACATTAGTCATTCAGGTGAGCACGACATGGTGTGAACATCACACTGTGTCAAAGCTCCTCTGTGTTCTTCTATAAATATTCTAGACATCCAGGGCAAAAAGGTGGAACCAGCAGGTCTTTGATCAGACTCCAGTGAAGTGAAGTGGACTTGCTGGGAAAAGAGAAACCCACCTAAACCACAAGACAGACCAGGTCCAGACCTCAGAGCTTTATGGGCCTTTATTTGCTCTTTTTACAGTGCCAACCATCTGGCTTCAAACATGCAGTCCGCTCCTGTTGGGCAACACTTAAATCACTTTTCCACGACAAAAACACCACTGATGTCTGACAGCGGGACACAAAACAAATCAGATTCAATCAATGTGAAGCTCCAGCAGATAATAACCTTCCAGATTTTGGTGATTTATTAAGTTAATTGAGTGTATTTTGTTGGAAGGGATACACGTTTATGCAGAAGATCTTAACGTCTCACCAAGAAACCAGGCTGGGCGACTTAAAATCCTAAAAAATCTGCTTTACATCCAGATGTGCACTGAACATTTTAACCACCACAGCTGGTTCAGTCCCCAGGATGCAGATGTTATGTGAGATTTCTTTAACAGATTGCAATAATAAAAAAACCCTTCCCCACCTGTATGTTATTTAATAGATATTTAAAATGGCTTTTTCATGAAGTTTTGTGGATTTAAATCTTTCTCTTACCAGGTTTCCCACATGAAAATCATAAAAAGTGACACATATAACAACTTCTCTATAACTTCTCTCCCTAAATAAATAGTAAAAAATGGAACAGGAAGAAAAATGTCACCTGTGCTTCACAAGTACAAAGGGACTATGTTCAGGTCATTAAGTGGATTTAAACTTATTTTCTAGTTTAGTTAACGATGCAGACATATAAGTTTATATTATATATTATTATATAAGGTATATAAAAGTTAAATATTATCTTCAGTAAAAAGTTTCTTAATATGTCTGGTTTTACACCCTGAAGACTTTCACCATTTAAAGTTAGACAAACTAATTGAGGTGGTTTGTTCCAGGATTCAGTGAAAACATCTAAAACAATTTGTAGTTACTCCAAACTAATTTGGTTGCAACCAAAATCGTTTTTTTTCCCCGACAAGAAGAGGTCAAACTTACCCTCTGACAGATGATAGTCCACAACAAAGTCAGCTCCCAGTCCTGGAGATGCTTCCTGAGCTACAGGTAATATGAAAGTGGAGCACAGTGATCCATTGCTCATTGATTTAAACTACGACTGAGCTGAGTTGAGTTCCTGCTGCAGCGTTTCAGTCCCCGATCTCTCAAAAAACAGACTCAACTCCTCTTCTGTCAAACTGAGGGAAGCAGGACCTCCAGTGGCCATATTGTGTAATGCAGTGACTGTGTGCTGCAGGTTTGTAGCAGCACACAGTCACTGCATCAGTCACTGCATTACTGAGAATACATCACATTTTAAAGATGTAGATTGAGAAAATTTTGATTTTATTAAAATACAAATACATTTGCAGTCCACATACAGCATTTCATGACATACAATACCAAGATTTCAGTGACTTTTCTATACACAAACTCAATATATTGTGAGGGTTTAAATATGAGCAGCAAAGTTACTTTCTTAACGGAACCACACATGAACCGTTTATTAAAAGATGTATTTTGAACATGTATGTAGAAGATAAATACTTGGGTGTCACACTGGACAAAAAACTGGACTGGTCCACAAATTCGTAGGCCATCTACAATAAGGGCCTGAGCTGGCTTTACTTCCTGAGGAGGCTCAAGTCCTTCAATGTTTATGTTTATCAGTCTGTTGTGGCGAGCACCATCTTCTTTGCTGCGGTGTCCTGGGGTATCTATGTGTATACATGTATATCTGTTCAGTCATCATATTATATATACATATTATTATTATTATTATTATTATTATATTATTAGAAATATTATTAATATTATCATTATATACTGTTATTAACAAAACCACTACCATCATATCATCAGTACTATTACCACCATCTTGCAACTACAACTTCTTTGCACCTTACCTACCTATTTATCTTTTTTTATCTTTTCAATCTAAGTATTTTATTCTATTGTATTTTATTGTATTTTAATGTACCTGGCTGCTATGACGACCTAATTTCCCTTCGGGGATTAATAAATAAGTTTCTAAAAAAAAAAACGTCAATAAGAGTAATCAATGCATTTAACATGTACAGTTGACAAAAATAGTCAGCCAGCAGAAGACAGTTAATTTGGATTCATTCTAATAATAAAGTACAAAATTAATGAATTGTCTTACTCTTGAGTGGGTTTAATTGGTGTTTGTCTTGTCCTGATCTCCTCATGGTAAAAAAAAAAAGTCAGTGCTGAACAAACACACATCAGTCATCACCATATTAACTGTGCTATTGAAAAAAACACAGATGTTGAGTTGAAAGTTAAAACGTACCCATGCTTATGTTTTCGTATGAGCAGGTGTGCTGCAACACCACAACCAGAGGCCACTACCAGCAACACAATGATCCAAATAAAGTCTGTGACTAAAGAGGAAAATTAGTGACAAACACTTAACATTCAGATCAAAAGGTAAAAATTGAGAACAATTAAAGTTAACTTAGTAAATTTACTGTGATCCCTGTCTTTAGATCCAGATTCAACACCAAAACCTGTAAAAAGAAACAAAAAACATCAGAATCATAAAGTATTGATCAGTCTCTGAATGTGTATGTTTGGAAGTGTTTCTCACCATCAGCAGACGACTGTTTGACCTCAGGAATCATCATAAACACCTCTATCTGAGGACCAGAGAGCACTCGCGCTGCACATACAACCTGTGTGTTGTTGCCACGGAAACTAGACAGCACAGTAGTCGTGGTGACAGTGACTGTACCGTTGGTGTTGGTGACACTGACAGAGCTGTAGTTTGAGAAGTGGAGGTCTTGTTGCAGGACTCTTAATGTTACTGTGGGAGCAGGTCGAGCTGTGGCCGAGCAGGACACAACTGGCTCTTCAGAAGAGTTTGATTCTCTAACATGTAGGATGGGTTCATGCAGCTCTGCACAGGACACACAGGGACACACAGGGACACACAGCACATTAATTACATCAGTGGAGAATGAGACAGATTGAGATACATCAATTGTGAAAGACTATTAAAAATAATACACATTTCATTTTCTTTTTGTGGATCTGCTGTCCTGATACAGCTACTGATGTGAGTGACAAGAAAAGTAGATAGCGTCCTCTGCTGTATGATTATTTAAGATGCATAAATGTTCTTACCATAGACCTGGAGACAGGTTGTAGCAGTGAGAGCACCTTCAGGGTAGGTGTTGAACAAACAACGATAGCAGCCTTCATCCTGCTCTGTCGGGTTCCTGATAACTATGGAGTTGTTCTGCAGTCCAGCATCTTTAAACTCCACATTATCAATAAAGTCAGGATTCACTCTTGGACCAAAGTATCTGTTGAAGGTAGCAACATTTTCCTCTTTCTCAGGTGAAACTTTCTGCCATGTGACTTGAAGAACATCTTTCAACTGACTCAGCTGACAGTTTAAATGAGCCTCTTCTCCCACTGCTGCCATCACAGTCTGCTGTGTCTGTACCAGAGCTGTTAGACCTGCAGGGTAGAAATTAAATCAGATATGTGAACTTTGTGTAACAGATTACATCGTAATTTGGAATTCAAGATCAATATGAGCTTGTTAAATAAAGCACTTGACTTTAAGTTTAACAGATTATATTAGCTGAGAAATAACTTTAAAAACAAACTAAACATGTAGGGGAGACCGGGGCTTGTTGTCACACTTTTTACACTCTTATATATTTCTTGGAATCAGTACATCATATAAAAAAAAATGTGTACCAGATGAAAGTCTCAGGTATATATTTTGTATTCATGTCATTTTTATATCTTGTGTCAGTGCAGAGTTATAAGCAATCAAATAGAGACTGTGAACATGTGACATGTTGCCCCACCATCGGGTAAGTTGTCTCACTATATGGGGTAAGATGTCACACTGGATTTTGCAACTAATAAAACAAGGACAAAATTATTGATGTTGTTCTTTTTTACTTGAAAGTGAACACTGAAGTCAGGCACAGAAAATGTTTATCATTGAGCTTGAAAAAGCCATTGAACAAACGTTAACATAAAATATTATGCAACATGCACTGGATTAAAGTCCTTAGGAACTGCTGAGGCGTAGGCTATGACTCTCAGACTCCAATGCCTGTTTTACCTTTCTTAAACTTAAACCAGTCCTAAAATGTGGACTAGTTCCAACAACAACTGGAAGATCCATTCATAAAAACTCAAACAAAACCTGACAAACAAATTTCCTCACTAGACTCATCATCCGCAACGCAGTTCTGGCATACGTAGACTGACTTACCATGGGTTCATTCTTCATGGGCCCATCCTTTGCCTAACGAAGCTTATTTTGAAATATATAAAGTTGATATTTTTTCTTTTGGGTTGTGCAAAACGGTTACTTGGTGCTCATCTCAGCTCACAATGTGCTATCCTCTTCTCAGACAGGACATGACACCTGACCATGTAAAGGAAGAAAACTAGTATTCCACTTTTTAGTTGCGCCCCTTGGTGGAGAAGATAACTGCAATGGGACAACAAGCCCCGGTCTCGCCTAACATATTTGGAGAATTCAGTTTTCTACCTGTCTGAAAGCTCAACACCAAAAGGAGACAGAGGACGACGCAGTCTACCATGATGGAGCTCCACACGTGGAAAGGCTGTCATGCGCAGAAGATGCGACCGAAGTTCTGTAGGAGGCAAGAGTAAAGAGTCCGCTCCGGTTAGATTTTCTGCCATAACACTTAACTTTAACTTATTCTTAACAAATAACTTTTAAACCCCATAAATATATATTATATTTCAGCGTTGATACCTTACGATGAACTCAATATGACACTGTAATGTATATAGGTGTACATAAGGCTTTATGGTATCACCGTGGGAAGTGTCAACGCATTTTTCTAAAATATGATCCTTATAAATACAATATCATACATAAAACATATCAGGATTTATAGGTTTAATCATTTAATCAATTATTACTCTAAAATCTTGTATAAATGCTAAATAAACAGCGCGTTAAGTCTAGCTGCCCCCCATACACACACTCAGTGAGACATCTTATAAAGTTCAACCACAATTTACTTTCGTTTCTCTTTTGGTGATTCAAATCTTTCTGTTTGCCAAAGTAAAATCATAATAAATGAATAAAACCTCATATTTATACCTGACAGGTGACAGATGAGAGACACTGACATGATTTAATAAAAACAACCTCAATATGAAGGTTTGAACTACTTTTTAACAAGTCCATAAATCACCACAGAGTCTCATCACAGGCTGATATCTATCTCTATAAAGACAAATATATCGTAAGGGTTTAAATATATGAGGAACAAAATTACACATTTCTGATTATTATGACAAACAAATCACTGTTTGTACTTAGTAGATTTAGAAAATGGAAACTTTATTAAAATACAAATATATCAAATGATGTTACACTCAACAAACAGCTCAGAATACCATTTTAAGATATAAAACACCAATATTTCAGATATAAAGTTACATTTCTGTCAACAAAACCCTCATTTAGTTAAAGCTTTCTTTACTACAGTAATGATATGTATACTTTATAATAAATGCACACAATTAAATTTTTAAGCAAACACAGGCCACCACAGATAAAATGATCCAAGTGAAATCTGTGAGAAAAGAGAAAAATTTGTGACAAATACTCAACATTCATATAGAAACTACAGATCAAAAAGTAATAATTGAGAACACTTGGACGTTAACTTACTGAAATCAATGTGATCAGACCCAGATTCCTGAAACCTGAAAACCAAAAAAGACATGAGCTATAAAGTATTGATCAGTCTCTGAATGTGTATGTTTGGAAGTGTTTCTCACCATCAGCAGACGACTGTTTGACCTCAGGAATCATCATAAACACCTCTATCTGAGGACCAGAGAGCACTCGCACTGCACATCCAACCTGTGTGTTGTTGCCACGGTAACCAGACAGCACAGCTGTGGTGGTGACAGCGACTGTACCGTTGGTGTTGGTGACACTGACAGAGCTGTAGTTTGAGAAGTGGAGGTCTTGTTGCAGGACTCCTAATGTTACTGTGGGAGCAGGTCGACCTGTGGCCGAGCAGGACACAACTGCCTCTTCAGAAGAGTTTGATTCTCTAACATGTAGGATGGGTTCATGCAGCTCTGCACAGGACACACAGGACACACAGGGACACACAGGACACACAGGGACACACAGGGACACACAGGACACACAGGGACACACAGGGACACACAGCACATTAATTACATCAGTGGAGAATGAGGCAGATTGAGATACATCAATTGAGAATGATTATTAAGACAAATTATGATGGAAAAAATATTCCTTTATTAGACAAAAGTTTTCAATCATATTTCATTATTTCATTATTGAATCTTGTTTTATTTATGAATTACAGTATAAATTGTGTAAAATAATACAGATTTCCAAATGTCTTTGTCTCCTGATACAGCTACTGATGTGAGTGACAAGTAAAGTAGATAGCGCCCTCTGCTGTATGAATATTTAAAATGCATCAATGTTCTTACCATAGACCTGGAGACAGGTAATAGCAGTGAGAGCACCTTCAGGGTAGGTACTGAACAAACAACGATAGCAGCCTTCATCCTGCTCTGTCAGGTTCCTGATAACTATGGAGTTGTTCTGCAGTCCAGCATCTTTAAACTCCACATTATCAATAAAGTCAGGATTCACTCTTGGACCAAAGTATCTGTTGAAGGTAGCAACATTTTCCTCTTTCTCAGGTGAAACTTTCTGCCATGTGACTTGAAGAACATCTTTAGACTGACTCAGCTGACAGTTTAAATGAGCCTCTTCTCCCACTGCTGCCATCACAGTCTGCTGTGTCTGTACCAGAGCTGTTAGACCTGCAGGACAGAAATTAAATCAGATATGAGAAATGTGTGTAACAGATTACATCGTAATTTGGAATTCAAGATCAACTATAAGCTCGTTAAATAAAGCACTTAACTTCAACTTATTCACAACAAATAACTTTAAAACAAAACAAAACATAATATTTTTTATAGAATTCAGTTTCCTACCTGTCTGAAAGTTCAACACCAAAAGGAGACAGAGGACGATGCAGTCTGCCATGATGTAGCTGTATGTGTGTTGATACCTTAAGATAAACTAAATATGACAGACTGTAATATATATAAATGTCCAGCAGACTATATGGTATCATCTCTGAGGGGAAGTGTCAAGGCAAATATGTAAAATATGACCCTTATAAATACAATATTATAAATAATAAAAACAACAGAATACAAAGGAATGATCAGTAAACTGCTGATTTAGTCAATTACTATAAAATATTTTATATACTAAATTAACAGCGCGTTAAGTCTAGCTGTCCCCCCTACAGTGGTACAGTCCACACTCCAACTCTTTCAACATTCAACCATTGACAGTAAATAGGTTCCATCTCACAATTTACTTTCGTTTCAAGTTCTCCTTTTTTTTGCTGTTTTCGAAAAGTGACAAATGAGGATTTGTCACTTTTGGTGGTTAAAATCTTTCTGTTTGCCAAAGTAAAATCATAATAAATGAATAAAACGTTATATTTATACCTGACAGGTGAGTAAGTAAGTAAAGTTTTAATTGTATAGCACTTTTTTAAACACGGTACAAAGTGCTTTTCAAACAACAATATACATATGGGTCTATATATATGCATATATACATATAAATATGTACATGCATAACCATACCCAATCAAACATACATAGGGAGGATGTAAATACAAACATAAGGAAGATAAAACAAGAGGGAAGGATAAATTAAGAGAGATGACAGATGAGAAAACAAACAAGGAGATCTATAAAAAGGCTTTGCCTGTAGAGGAGCCGATTCAGTGAATCTGAGTGATTGGGGAAGTTTGTTCCACAATGTTGGGGCTAAAACAGCAAAGGTCACCTTTAGTTTTGTTAGTTAGAGCAGGGAATAGATAAAAGGACTTTAAGATCTGAAATGTAACTGGGGGCAGAATTTCACAGGAAGCCAATGAAGGGATGAGAGAACAGGAGTAATGTGGGACCGACGGCTGGTTCTGGTTAAAAGTCTAACAGCTGCATTTTGTACTAACTGTAAAAGATTAAAGGAAGCTTGACTGAGGCACGTGTGGAGGGAGTTACAGTAATCTAGACAGGAGAAAATAAAGCTGTGAATTAATAGTTCAAGATCACTGGAGGACAAGAAACTTCTGAATTTTGCTACATTTCGTAGCTGCAGGAAACAGGACTGGACAAGTTTTTGTAACATGAAGGTCAAATGTCATATACTGGTCGAAGATGATACCCAGATTCTTAGCAGTGGGTTTGATATTTGAGTGTAGTGGTCCAATAAACTGATCAACTGCAGTGACAAAGTTCTCAGGGCCAAATAAAATGATATCAGTTTTGTTTTAGGTGGAGAAAATTAAGAGACATTCAGTCTTTGGTGGCAGCTAAACACTCATGGAAAGAGGACAGTTGATTCAGGTGATTGGGTTTCAGAGAGAAGCAGATCTGTGTATCATCGGCATAACATTGGTATGACATGTCTTGGAAGTGGCTGAACAAATGACCCAGAGGAAGCATATACAGGGAGAACAGAGCTGGACCAAGAACCGACCCCTGAGGGACTCCACACAGCAGGGGAACAGATGAGGAGGAAACGTGATTATTAATGCAGACATTAAAGAATCTATTAGTCAAATAGGAATGAAACCAGTCTAAGGCTGTACCAGAAACAACAACCCAGTTCTGTAATCTATCAAGTGAAATGGATCGATGGTATCAAAGGCCGCAGTCAGATCAATAAGAATAAGGATGGAGCTTTAACTATTGTCAACATGCATAAAGATGTCATTATACACTCTCAGTAATGTTGTCTCTGTGCTATATATAGGAACTGTTTGTTACTAACAGACTTAGAAAGTTAATATTTTATTAAAATACATTTTCAAGATATAAAACACCAAGATTTCAGACAGTTACATTTCTGTCAACAACACCCTCATTTAGTTAAAGCTTCCTTTACCACAGTAATAATATACATTCTTTATTTTTAATGCCCACAATTACATTTTTAAGCCATAATTCAGACCATTACAAAACATTTTATTCTGTTCAATTTAATATAATGTAGTCTCCAGTAAGTTTAATCTTTATATAACTGAGCTGATATAAAAACATACAAAAGAAGCAGCAGTGCATTTATATACATTTCATTTTAAAAAGAAAAAAAATAATAATTTGAAAGAAAGAAGTAAAAACACAGGATGCAAATATATTACAGATGTTAGAAAGTGAAGTCACAAGACACAGAGAAGATCTTTCCACTGTTAAAGAAAATTTAAACATAAAAACAAGTAAAGAACAGTAAAGAATAAAAAAGTATGAAAACATTAATATAAAATCAGCTGTTTACATTAATCTTTGTTTATATTCTCTGTGTTGAACTGAAAGATGAATCTTAAACAGGTCTTTTAGTGTTGGTTCTTTCATAAATGTCTCCATCTTTCACCATATCTGTCTTCACTCTGTCTCTACAGTCTTAAAGGTTTCTGTGTCACTAAACATTTCATTATGGTAAAAACAGCTGTCGCCGACAACTTCCTGTTGAAGACGATGTTTCTGAGTCGTCGCTTTTTTCTCACAAGACCCCTGTTGCCTTATCTCATTCTCTTCCTGCATTAAAGGTGTTGTGGACCTTCAGATGAAAATAAAACATTAGTCAATTTCGTAAGTCAGAAGCAACAAAACAAATATAATGAATTAAATAAATAAATTGTCTTACTCATCAGTGGATTCAGTGGCTCTTTGTGGTGTCTTGATCTCTTCAGGGTCTCTGTGTGACAGACTGAATGTTGAATAAAACTCAGTGCTGAACAAACACGTATTAATTATTTATTTATGAGTTTTGTCTAAAAAGATCTCAATCAGTCATTAACATATTAACTGTGAGACGCTGGTATTAAAACAACACAGATGTTGAGCTCATATTTTAAAAAATTACCTGTTTTGATGATTTCTTTTGAGCAGGAATGTGATGACTGCAACACAAACACAACCAAAGGCCACTACCACAGACAACACAATGAACCAGGTGGAATCTGTGAGAAAAAGTTAGTGATAAACACTCAACATTCATAAAGAAACTACAGATCAAAATGTAATAATGACTTGCGAACACTTAGAGGTTAACAAAAAACATCAGAATCATAAAGTATTGATCAGTCTCTGAATGTGTATGTTTGGAAGTGTTTCTCACCATCAGCAGACGACTGTTTGACCTCAGGAATCATCATAAACACCTCTATCTGAGGACCAGAGAGCACTCGCGCTGCACATCCAACCTCTGGGCTGTTGCCATGGTAACCAGACAGCACAGCTGTGGTGGTGACAGCGACTGTACCGTTGGTGTTGGTGACACTGACAGAGCTGTAGTTTGAGAAGTGGAGGTCTTGCTGCAGGACTCTTAATGTTACTGTGGGAGCAGGTCGACCTGTGGCCGAGCAGGACACAACTGCCTCTTCAGGAGAGTTTGATTCTCTAACATGTAGGATGGGTTCATGCAGCTCTGCACAGGACACACAGGGACACACAGGGACACACAGGACACACAGGGACAGACAGGACACACAGGGACACACAGCACATTAAGTACATCAGTGGATAATGAGACAGATTGAGATACATCAATAGAGAATGATTATTAAGACAAATTATGACAGAAAAAAGATTCCTTTTGAGACAAGTCTTCAAAATATATTTCTTCATCTCATTTTTGAATCCTGATGTATTTCTGAGGTTCAGTATATATTATGTAAAATAATACACATTTATTTTCCTTTCTAGAACTGCTGCCTTGATACAGTTACTGATGTGAGTGACAAGTAAAGCCGATAGCGCCCTCTGCTGTATGAATATTTAAAATGTTCTTACCATAGACCTGGAGACAGGTTATAGCAGTGAGAGCACCATCAGGGTAGGTGTTGAACAAACAGTGATAGCAGCCTTCATCCTGCTCTTTCAGGTTCCTGAAAACTATGGAGTTGTTCTGCAGTCCAGCATCTTTAAACTCCACTTTATCAATAAAGTCAGGATTCACTCTTGGACCAAAGTATCTGTTGAAGGTGGCAACATTTTCCTCTTTCTCAGGTGAAACTTTCTGCCATGTGACTTGAACAACATCTTTCTTTTGCATCAGCTGACAGTTTAAATGAGCCTCTTCTCCCACTGCTGCCATCACAGTCTGCTGTGTCTGTACCAGAGCTGTTAGACCTGCAGGAGATAAAGCAACAGAGAAGTTTCTTCAGCTGAGGGTGCGTGTACACTTTGACAGGAAGTCCAACTTAGTGAAGTCTGATTTAATACACACCCAGTACCTCCACCCTCCAACATCTTTAAATTGTAAATGTACAATTTAGTTTTTAGTCATATGCTGCTCAGAATATTTGAACACCATTTCACTGCATATTACATATAGTGTATGAATTTTTCATTAGTCTTATATTGTCCATTATATCTATTATCCTTTATTGTAGTCTTTGCATTACATTTCCCTGTGCTGCTGTGTCACCACATGTTGTTGTTTTGCTCTATTTCCTGTCTGGTTTCTGCACCAAAGCTTCTGTTTAAAGTCTTAATAGTCTGAAGACAAGTGTTTTTTGCAGTTAGGATATCACCTGTATGTTGTACTGTTATCTGCACAATCGGTAATATTACTTTATACCTAACAGGACCTACAGTACTGGGACCCCGTTAGTTCAAGATGTCCATTAATCTACACTGTGACTGTAAAGTGGTAAGAAAATGCGAGATTACTCTGCGGGACGTATTTAAAGCGAAACTAAAGACGGAAAAGTCAGCTGGCTGTTCTTTAAGGAAGCGAAATTACATAAAATATGTATAAAAACATAATATTTATCGTAATTTCTTACCTTTCTCAAAGAATCCCATCAGAAAGAGGAAAATAAAGAGTTTCATCTCTGCTCTATGTGGATCTGTCCGCTGCCCCTCCCTTCCGGGGTTCACTGCAGTAAAGTTGGCAATATATTCACAGATTCGCACTTCCCGTATCAATAACTCATAATCGGGACATTTTTAAAACACAGCCGATGCCTTTTTCCATCCGTAGTAAAGCACACAATGAGCTACAACCTCACATTCATCTAAACAAGCCGTCCTCTGCGCAGCTCCAGTAACATTGATCTCTATGCACACCTGGCGGTGAGAGGAGTGCGCAGGGACCGTCAACAATTTTCAATAACGAAAAGAGATAGTTCAAAAGATAATCAATAACTGTACTCTCATATATTGTAGCCTCACCAAAATCACTGTACACATCATTTGCCCCCTCCTGGTGATACTACAACTGTTATTATGTCAATAAAACACTTTTTTATATTTTTGGGGAATTTCTATCGGGATAAATAATCAATAACTCAACTATTATCAACTGTAGTGCCACCAAAATCACTGTGCACATCATTCACACCCTCCTGGTGATACTACAACTGTTATTATATCAATAAAACACTCTTTTATATTTTTGGGGAATTTTTATCGGGTTAAATAATCAATAACTCAACCATTATCAACTGTAGTGCCACCAAAATCACTGTACACATCATTTGCCCCCTCCTGGTGATACTACAACTGTTATTATATCAATAAAACACTCTTTTATATTTTTGGGGAATTTTTATCGGGTTAAATAATCAATAACTCAACCATTATCAACTGTAGTGCCACCAAAATCACTGTACACATCATTTGCCCCCTCCTGGTGATACTACAACTGTTATTATATCAATAAAACACTTTTTTATATTTTTGGGGAATTTCTATCGGGATAAATAATCAATAACTCAACTATTATCAACTGTAGTGCCACCAAAATCACTGTGCACATCATTCACACCCTCCTGGTGATACTACAACTGTTATTATATCAATATAACACTCTTTTATATTTTTGGGGAATTTTTATCGGGATAAATAATCAATAACTCAACCATTATCAACTGTAGTGCCACCAAAATCACTGTATACATCATTCACACCCTCCTGGTGATACTACAACTGTTATTATATCAATAAAACACTCTTTTATATTTTTGGGGAATTTTTATTTGGATAAATAATCAATAACTCAACCATTATCAACTGTAGTGCCACCAAAATCACTGTACACCTCATTTGTACCTTCCTGGTGATGTTTATTTTGTTTATTTATATAGCATATTTAAAACATACAGACTTGACCAACCTGTTGCAGAAATAAAGTGTGTGGCACATCTCACCCCAAGTTGACCTCTTACCGTCCAATCAGGAGCCACTGTCAATTAAGCTCTACTTGGAACGATCAGATTTCAGTCTTTACTGCAGAACCATGATGGAGAATGACATCTATTTGCCTTTGGAGTACTTTGCAATTTTTCTGCCTTTGGATAGCTTTGCCAGTGTACCACCACAATCTTTCCTTGGTTATATGTAAGTAATCTTTTATCTTTATTTTACTATGCCTATATAGCTGTTCACAAATTGAAATGTGATATTTAGGTTGTGTATAATGATTAAATTAACTGTTTGTCAACTTATTGTATTACTTTGTATACCTCAACTTTTACCCCAGGTTTTCAAGCACATGTAAAACATATAATTGATTATCACTAGCATAAACATTTTTAGGTCAAGGTTTTAGTTTTTCCCTTTTCCCTTTCCCTAGGCTTGGGACTATTTGAAGATAATGGGAAGAGTAAAAAAAGGAAACAGAGGAAAGAGGAAAGACCTATGGGCAGTGGCAGGGGGAAAAGAAGCTGTGGTCAGAGCAATGACCAGTTTTAACATAACAAACAGAGATACAGCTTATTCTTCCCAGATCTGGTCTGAACTATCTGTACACCTATTTGCTGAAGATATGAAGAAAAACCGTCATTGGCTGTGGGTTATATGGACCAAGAATCGTAATGGAGTGAGGGATCTGATTATGAATCAGGAACTAAATGAGGATGAAACACATAATACAGTGGCACTTGAAGACAGTGGAACAGAGGATCTGCCTCTAAATTTGACTCAGAATATTAAAGTACTGTCAGATGAGGAAACAGAAGACAATGAAGTAGGAGAAGAAGAAAAGAAAATGACATTGCAGAGTGCAGCTCAAGATGATGAAGAAGTTTCACAGAAAGAGACAGATGAGAATGAAGTAGGAGAAGAAGAAAAGAAAATGACATTGCAGAGTGCAGCTCAAGATGATGAAGAAGTTTCACAGAAAGAGACAGATGAGAATGAAGTAGGAGAAGAAGAAAAGAAAATGACATTGCAGAGTGCAGCTCAAGATGATGAAGAAGTTTCACAGAAAGAGACAGATGAGAATGAAGTAGGAGAAGAGCAAGATAAAAAAATACGATTAAAGAAAAGAGCCAAACCTAAACACGTCAAGACCGGAAACAAAAGTGAATGGAGAAAGTTGCCAGTGGTGCCTAAGAGATTCACAATAACTGTGAATCTAAAGAAATGGAAAAAAATTGTTCCGCGACATGGTTCCACAAAACTTAGGCAACCATGGACAAGTGTGTTATATAGCAGTTTCCGCAAAAAAAATCCTTGTGGGAGACAACCAGGTCAAGATAGCTGTGCTGCAAACAGGAACAGTGGCACACAAGAAAAATGAGACAAAATTCAGACCAGCCGCAAAAACCCGGAGAGGGAGAATTGCAAAAGCTCTACATAAAGGAGTGAGCCAAGTGTTCTATCGTAAGCTCCAAAAAACACCAGTTGCTGAACTGATTTCAGGGAACATAACCCAGTGTTTAAACAAAAATGTGCTTAAGGTGATTAATTCAGAGGTTACAAAAGCAACAAGAGTGCATGATGATGTCTTCATGGAGATGTACCTAACCCAAAAGATCATGAAGGAATGTGACTTCCATTTCCACAAGATGCCTGGCTACATACAGCACTTACAAGTTGACCCCTTTGGTGTACACATGTATACAGAAACTGGAATAAGCATAACAGTGCAACACCTGAGAAGGAAGACCCCACTGACCCTGTACCTAGATGCTACAGGTAATGTTGTATGTAAAGTTCCAGGCAGACCAAAAGAGTACTTTACTACTCTCTTACTCTTCCTGGTGGTGGTCAGAATATACCTCCCCTCCCAGTCTGTGAAATGCTGACCAACGAACACTCTATACCACCAATTACATTCTGGTTAATGCAGTTTCTCAGAAAACTGTCACAGTACACAAAGGTAAGAGTACACCAGGTGGAAACAGACTACAGCTGGGCACTACTCCAAAGTGTCCTTCTGTCATTCAACAAGGAGAGCATTGAAAGCTATTTGGATAGGGCTTTTGCTATTTCTTCAAGAGTAAAGACATGGAAAGAGATCCAAATGTTTACAGTGCTTCACATTTGCTCTGCACATGTGCTCAAAGCTGTTGCACAGGCTATTGGGAGAAAGACTAACGATAAAGGGTTGAAGGAGTTTGCAACCTTTGCATTTGCCAGGTTGCAAAATACAACATCAATGGTCTCTGCAATCAAAATCTTCCGCTCATTGTGTACTGTATTAACTGACAAATACAACACCTGTAGTGTGCAGAATAATCTCAAGGCCATACAGGACTTGATAAAAAAGAGCACAATTCCTGACGTGGAAGAGACGGAGAAACTGGAAGACAGTCCTGTAGCTCAGGAGGAAAGTGATGAAGATAGAAGAAATGCACACACGGTTGTAGGCAAATCTCCCTTCACCTATGAATTCAAGAAGGTCTTGAAGGAGGTGCAAGGAGAGCTTGAAAAAGAGAATGCAGAAACCAAAGAAGATGAGGACAATCCTTACTACTGCCCAGTTGTTGTTGATGTTCTTTTTGATAACTACCTGGGCCTTTTTCCCCTTTGGAGTGGTCTGCTTTTGGGAAATTTAAAAAGGTTTGCATATGACAAAGAAGATGACACCTTTGGCCCAAGCAAAACAAGGGACACAAACTGCCATGTGGAGGGATGGTTTGGAATAGTGAAACATTCCATTCTCAAAAAGCAGAGGAGACTGAGACCAGGGGCCTTTGTCAGGAAAATGTTTGCCTCTCTACAGGGTAGATATAAAGAACACATCATGTGTCATCAGTTATCTGAGCAGTTACTCCTAAAACCCATGCAACAGAAGGACATAGGTCAATCACAGGAGAGTTGGGCAAAGAGAGATGGAGCAAAACCCCGCACTGGCAGCTCCAAATTCTACACTGCTCCAACCACTGTTCCTGTTCCAAAGAAAGCAAAGTCAGCCTTGAACACTGGCAAAGATCTTCAGAAGACAAATGAGAACAACAGCAGCTCCAAGCCCACAACAGAGGTACTTTTTTGCTAAATACATTAAATTCAAGCCAATTACATTTGTTGATGCTGAAACCATGAACTCTTTTTGACAGCTAGAAACATTGTGATTTATTTATTAATATCCATGTAGGTTGATGTCCTCTGGAAATGCAAGCCAACTGAACTTGTTGTGGCTGTTGTAAATCATAGGAGCAGAAGCACACATTTACCCTCCGGCACAGAGAATTTCAGAGTTTGAGGCCTGATGAACTACTCTTTGGAGAGGCAAGTTTTCTCATTAAAAATATATAGATGGATATATTTATAGATAATGAACACAACTTTACTTTAGACTCCTCTACTGTACAATATCTGACATTTTTATGATTGATCTTTTCATAATATTTGTTCAAAGGTGATAGAATGTTACATTGGAGCCATCCTCAAGTCTAAGGATACTGCTGGCCGACTATTCCACATGAATCACTACACCATGGGTGTAATATTACATGGCACAAGAGAGCAGATGGCCAGGCAGGGTTTAAAAAAGGTGCGTACAACTTCACTTTAGTATTGCAGAGTTTAGGTCATCAGCAGGCTTCATTTCAGAGTTTTTATAGTCCTTGATGTGATCATGGAAAATCTTGATTTTAATACTTTTAATAATATTCCTTCTGTAAGTTGCTTCAGAAATTTACATATTTTCTGTGTGTCACTTATTTTTTTGTCAGGTCACATTTGATGACTACGATGGAGCCATTGGATTTGTCAACATAAACAATGTGCACTGGAAGTTTGTGGTGAGAAAACAGCTATTCATGTAGTATTATGTGCCATTTATATATTAGTCATGGTTTGTTTGTTCAAAGGTTACCAGCCATAAAATTACTATAAAGACTACTTACCTATAATCAATTAAAAACTACAAAAATACAGTAGTATTAATTACATATTTTTCATATCAGTTCAGTATTTATCTAAGAATTATAATGGCTCAACTAACAAATTCACAAGTTTAGGATTATCAGCTCCGTATGTCATGCAGCTGCATTGAGTGCTGTGTACCATATGATGAGTGTCCTAGGTTAAAAAAAAAATTAAGAACGTGCTTATGTGAAATGGCTTGTTTTTTTGTCTTTAATACTTTAAATGTACTTACATTACTGTGTATCAATTTGTCAACAGTGGTTTTAAACTTTTACATATATTTTCATTGTTGATGTTGTGGTTGATGACATATTTAAGGATGGTATGGTTTAATGATATTTACATTTTTCAAACAGTATCTTCATAGCCTTTCAAACCACATTTTTGTGGTTGATCCTCTTCAAGGCTCCAATGAAGTTGAGGACTCCAAAAAGGCTGGCTACAAATTTGGGTATTATATAATTATGAGGACTGACTACCTTACACACACATTTGGCCATAGAGTTCATGAAAATGTAAACCGAAAATTCTGTTCCTTTCGTCCTATAGACAGTACTTCAAGATGCGCAGGAATAGACTTGGAAAGGAAGATTGGGTAAACATCAAGTGGAAGCCTGGCAAAATAACCCACACCTTCCAGAAAGATGCCACCAGTTGTGGGATCTTTGTCATGCAGGTGATAGTATGCAAAATCTTTTCTTCAATATAGATAAAAATCTGTTTCTTTATTGTGCAAAATCATACATAACACATGTATTGTTTTGACATCTGTCCAGATGGCCAAGATGACAGTAATGGAATTTCCAAACATACCGCAGAAATTTCGCATTGAGTCATCTAAAAAATCAATTCAAAATCTAAGAAGAGAAATGTCAGAAGAAATTTTGAGAGGATCAGGTATTGTTCAAAATATTACATTATTATGTTGACAACTTCCTACAAACATGACAGTAATATAGCTTAATTATTTTTAGTGGCAAAGGATGACTTCTGTTCCTTCTGTGGAAATAAGGACTTACTGCAAACCGCTGTTGATGCTGTTTGGGTGAGAATCTTTAATTGTTTGAAAACATCAGTGGATGATCTGAATAGTGGATAATCTTGAAATTCCTGAGATAATACTATAGTAATCAAATCTTGTATAATCTTATGCATTACAGATTTGCTAATGTCAACTTTTTAAAATATGTTTAATGTTTTTATCCCTATGTAGATTCAGTGTGGAACTTGTACAAGATGGTTTCACACGCAGTGCCTTGGAATGACAGCAGCACAAATCCCAAATAAAGATACCCCTTGGTATTGTGAGTTGTGCAACAGCCCTGAGTGACGAGGCTGTTGGTAAGTTTGGCAGACTCTTATCAGAAATAGCAGTGTTTAGGTGTATTAAATTTCACTACTGCCATAATAATAGTAGTACCCTTTTAAAATGCATGGGAACCTGATATAAAACCAAATACAGAACAAAACAGCTATGCTTGGAAATGTGTGCAACTGAAATAAATATAAGTGATTTTTTTACTCTGTAGTAAACTGTGAAAGAAAAGAACAATCTTGTATACAAAAGTAAACAATTACCTTAATCTGTTTTTCATCTAAATGTGGAATAATTTATTACCTAATGTACAGAAAGATGTGTGCTGTAAATATTCAAGACCTGTTTCTTTTGCCCTATTTATTTATCAATTTTTCTATACTTTTACTTAATTCAAAACTTATTAAAATGTTGTTTCATAGTTCATAATTAATATCTTATGACCACTAATTTTAAGTGACTGGATTTCACTGAACAGATGTTTGTTTTTGTTGTTTTAGTGTTTTTTAGAATAATCAGTGTGTGTTTTTGTTTAACGTTGAATAAATGACAAATTGCTTTGATGGTCCATTTGATATATGCATCCTACATAACGTCAAATATCTTTAGTTGCACAACTTGTTATTGGCTCTTTCACTAAGAAAGATATATATATCATTTGGCTCTTTATTTAAAGAAAAAGAAGTATGTTCCATTGTTTGGAACAGTTGTAGTATCACCAGGAGGGGGCAAATTATGTGTACAGTGATTTTGGTGGCACTACAGTTGATAATGGTTGAGTTATTGATTATTTATCCCGATAAAAATTCCTCAAAAATATAAAAGAGTGTTTTATTGATATAATAACAGTTGTAGTATCACCAGGAGGGTGTGAATGATAGAAACAACTATTTACCAACAATGTAAAAACACGAGCTTTTACAGTATACAGTAGAGAACATTATACATTCATTACAAAAGACTGTTATTCAATAATAAATGGTAAACTAATAAGCTGTTTAAAATACGACATAAATAGCGAGTGACGCTTATCACCTCTATAACAACACAATGGTACATCCCACTACTCAGAGATTTGGATTATTTAATAATTAATATATTGGTGTCTTACCTCTCAGTGCACTGAATGAGATATTTCCGCATGATGAATTTAAACTTAATGTGAATCATTAACTATACAGACGCCATCCTGTAGCAGCACTTGGTATCACCAGTAAAACTATAGTCAAACACTTTATTGTGGATATTATAAAAGATATTAAAGTCCCAAGAAAAGGTTTAATCAGTCAGGTTAACTACAAACACCTGTGTGGGTGTTCACAGGCTTTAATATAGTTATATATTAAAAAAATATTATCATATTTTTATTACCTATTGATCTATTTTATTTTGTTTTACAAGAAGCATAAAGGGAACTATAGACAGGTGAAACTTTCTGCCATGTGACTTGAAGAACATTTTTATTTATGACCTTATTAGTCAAATAGGAATTAAACCAGTCTAAGGTTGTACCAGAAACAACAACCCAGTTCTGTAATCTATCAAGTAAAATGGATTGATGGTATCAAAGGCCACAGTTAGATCAATAAGAATAAGGATGGAGCTTTAACTATTGTCAGCATGCATAAAGATGTCATTATACACTCTCAGTAATGTTGTCTCTGTGCTATATATAGGAACTGTTTGTTACTAACAGATTTAGAAAGTTAATATTTTATTAAAATACATTTTCAAGATATAAAACACCAAGATTTCAGACAGTTACATTTCTGTCAACAACACCCTCATTTAGTTAAAGCTTCCTTTACCACAGTAATAATATACATTCTTTATTTTTAATGCCCACAATTACATTTTTAAGCCATAATTCAGACCATTACAAAACATTTTATTCTGTTCAATTTAATATAATGTAGTCTCCAATAAGTTTAATCTTTATATAACTGAGCTGATATAAAAACATACAAAAAGAAGCAGCAGTGCATTTATATACATTTCATTTTAAAAAGAAAAAAAATAATAATTTGACAGAAAGAAGTAAAAACACAGGATGCAAATATATTACAGATGTTAGAAAGTGAAGTCACAAGACACAGAGAAGATCTTTCCACTGTTAAAGAACATTTAAACATAAAAACAAGTAAAGAACAGTAAAGAATAAAAAAGTAGGAAAACATTAATATAAAATCAGCTGTTTACATTAATCTTTGTTTATATTCTCTGTGTTGAACTGAAAGATGAATCTTAAACAGGTCTTTTAGTGTTGGTTCTTTCATAAATGTCTCCATATTTCATCCTATCTGTCTTCACTCTGTCTCTACAGTCTTGAAGGATTCTGTGTCACTAAACATTTTACTCAGCTGTTGTCGAACACTTCCTGTTGGAGACGGTGTTTTTGGGCTGCAGCTTCTCTTTTTTTTAACAGTAGATGTTCCCCGTTGCCTTAACTCGTTCTCTTGCTGCATTAAAGGTGTTTTGGACCTTCAGATAAAAATAAAACATTAATCAATTTTATTAGTCAGAAGCAACAAAACATAAATATAATAAAGTAAATAAATAAATTGTCTTACTCATCAGTGGATTCAGTGGCTTTTTGTGGTGTCTTGATCTCTTCAGGGTCTCTGTGTGACAGACTGAAGGTTGAATAAAAGTCAGTGCTGAACAAACATTGATCAATTATATATTTATGGGTTTTGTCTGAAAAGATCTCAGTCAGTCATTAACATATTAACTGTGAGACGCTGGTATTAAAACAACACAGATGTTGAGTTCAAATTAAAAAAATTACCTGTTTTGATGATTTCTTTTGAGCAGGAATGTGATGACTGCAACACAAACACAACCAAAGGCCACTACCACAGACAACACAATGATCCAGGTGAAATCTGTGAGAAAAAGTTAGTGATAAACACTCAACATTCATATAGAAACTACAGATCAAAATGTAATAATGACTTGCGAACACTTAGAGGTTAACTTACTGCGATCTCTGTCTTTAGATCCAGATTTATCATTAAATCCTAAAAAAGAAACAAAAGACATCAGAATCATAAAGTATTGATCAGTCTCTGAATGTGTATGTTTGGAAGTGTTTCTCACCATCAGCAGACGACTGTTTGACCTCAGGAATCATCATAAACACCTCTATCTGAGGACCAGAGAGCACTCGCGCTGCACATCCAACCTCTGGACTGTTGCCACGGTAACCAGACAGCACAGCTGTGGTGGTGACAGCGACTGTACCGTTGGTGTTGGTGAGACTGACAGAGCTGTAGTTTGAGAAGTGGAGGTCTTGTTGCAGGACTCTTAATGTTACTGTGGGAGCAGGTCGACCTGTGGCCGAGCAGGACACAACTGCCTCTTCAGAAGAGTTTGATTCTCTAACATGTAGGATGGGTTCATGCAGCTCTGCACAGGACACACAGGGACACACAGGGACACACAGGACACACAGGACACACAGGGACACACAGGGACACACAGGGACACACAGCACATTAATTACATCAGAATGATTATTAAATATAATACACATTTCCATTACTTTTTGTAGATCTGCTGCCTTGATACAGTTACTGATGTGAGTGGCAAGTAAAGTAGATAGCGTCCTCTGCTGTATGAATATTTAAAATGTTCTTACCATAGACCTGGAGACAGGTTATAGCAGTGAGAGCACCATCAGGGTAGGTGTTGAACAAACAACGATAGTATCCTTTATCTTGATCTGTCAGGTTCCTGATAACTATGGAGTTGTTCTGCAGTCCAGCATCTTTAAACTCCACTTTATCAATAAAGTCAGGATTCACTCTTGGACCAAAGTATCTGTTGAAGGTGGCAACATTTTCCTCTTTCTCAGGTGAAACTTTCTGCCATGTGACTTGAAGAACATCTTTAGACTGACTCAGCTGACAGTTTAAGCAGGCTTCATCTCCCATTGCTGCCAGCACAGTCTGCTGTGTCTGTACCAGAGCTGTTAGACCTGCAGGAGAAGATGGTTTCAGAGGTGAGTGTGAAGCATATTTATGGATAATCAAATTTAAATAATAATGATAATTGTAACATTTTCTGTTCGTTTTCTTCTGGATGCATTATTCTTCTGTAGCTCAAGTTGAAATATTAATCAGAATTTGCCAATTTTACCATCAACCAGCTCAAACGTGTAAAATAAAACATTGTAAATGTCTTTCCTGCACAGTTTAGATCTTTATATCTTTATCCTTATCTTTATTTATTTATATTTTAAAAATTTTGGCGTGCTTTTTATGCACCAAGACAAATTCCTTGTACTTGGCAATAAACCCGATTCTGATTCTGATGAAGCGCCAACAACGTGGTTAACTTAACTGCTGAATTACAGTAAACAAAGAACAATAAAGTCTCAGTTTAATTAAAATCATTTATTTTATATAAAATGACAGAAACACAAAGTATTAATCTTACCTTTCTGAAAAACTCCAAACGTACAAAATAAACATAAAACTGCAGGTTGTGTCATCTTTACTGAATCTACCGCCAACTCATTGAAACTGAAAGCTGTCACTGTACGTTAACTCCGTGCGCACTTCCAGGTAATCGCTGAGGGGGGAGGCGGGTGTCATAGAAACAACTATTTACCAACAATGTAGAAACACGAGCCTTTACAGTACAATGGCAACATTTAACATATATATAATAAAAGACTGTTATTCAATATGGTGAGCGAATTCGCTCGTTTGAAATGCGACACAAACAGCAAGTGACGCTTATCACCCCTCATACAACACAATGGTACATCCCAACTCAGAGATTTGGATTAGTTAATAATTAATATATTGCTGTCTGACCTCTCAGTGCACTGAATGAGATATTCCCGCGTAATAAAGTTAAACTTAAGTGGTGTAAATCTGTATGTGTGCAGGTTTAACAAAATAAAATTATAATAAATAAATAAAACGTAATAATACCTGACAGAGACATTATGATTTATTATATTAGGTCGATAGATATTCCTGGATTTAGTGACTGAAAGCTAATTATATTTTTATTGTCATTTACAGATCCAGAATGACAAAAACAACTCCAACCAACCTGCTTCCCTCCCTGATGTATCCACACTTCCACAGTAAATATGAATAAACAGCGACCTCCATGTATCTGAACTTCAACTTAATGTGAATCATTAACTATACAGACGCCATCCTGTGGCAGCACTTGGTATCACCAGTAAAACTATAGTCAAACACTTCATTGTGGATATTATAAAAGATACTAAAGTCCCAAGAAAAGGTTTAATCAGCCAGGTGAACTACAAACACCTGTGTGGGTGTTCATAGGCTTTAATATAGTTATATATTAAAACATATGATTATATTTTTATTACTTATTGATCTATTTTATTTTGTTTTACAAGAAGCATAAAGAGAACTATAAATTATTTTCATTATTCAACCCTGAGTTGAAAATGACAATGAAAAATAACTGAACATTAACTTACTGCGATCACTGTCTTTAGATCCAGATTCATAATCAAACACCATCTAGAACAGGGATCAACGTTGGCAGCAAAAACTCATCTCACTGGCAATGATGTTGGTTTATTCTGTTTCTCTCACTTGGACTCGGTCTTAACTCGTCCTGGTCTTGGACTCAGCAAAGGTTGTCTTGACTACAGCACTGCTATTATGCAAGTAGCTGAAAAAAGATATATAAAGTATATGAAGCATCAATGAACAACAGCATACAGTGTCGATATACCACTTTACATGTGGTCCAGAGTGCTATAATAATGCAGGCTATAAGTAGTAATAATAAAAATAAAAATATTAGTAGTTCGAGCTGCTTTTGTTCCTTGGTTTGACACATTTCAACACATTTTCTTGCTATTACCTGCTCAACATGATAAAAAACGTCTCATTCTTATTTCCACCATAGAAACACACTATATATATATATATATATATATATATATATATATGTATAAATACCTGTAGCCATCACAGTCAGTCCTGAACAGAAAATGACTTCAATGAATTTAAACTCCATATTACATTATTTATTTACAATGTTATTTACAGGTGTTCAGGAGCTATAAAGGCAATTTATAAGAACAATATACAAAAGAGTGAAGAGTGATGAAATGGAAAGATGCAACATAAAATAAATATGTAATAATGTGATCAGTGGATATTAAAATAAAAGTAAGTTGTAATTGTAAACAATATTTTCAATATAACACATTCATTGCATTACTGAGAATACTTTAAATTATAATAACAGGCAACATTTATATACATTTCATTTTAAAAAGCAAAAAATATGATGCAAATATATTACAGATCTTTACGCTGTCGAGAACATCACAACATTTAAAGATAAAAACAATCATCAGATTTTATAAAGAACAGTAAAGAATAAAAAAGTATGAAAACATTAATTTAAAATCAGCTGTTTACATTAATCTTTGTTTATATTCTCTGTGTTGAACTGAAAGATGAATCTTAAACAGGTTTTTTAGTTTCGGTTCTTTCATAAATGTCTCCATCTTTCATCATATCTCTCTTCTCTCTGTCTCTACAGTCTTGAAGGGTTCTGTGTCACTAAATATTTTATTATGGTAAAAACAGCTGTCGCCGACAACTTCCTGTTGAAGACGATGTTTCTGAGTTGTCGCTTTTTTTCTCACAAGACCCCTGTTGCCTTATCTCGTTCTCTTCCTGCATTAAAGGTGTTGTGGACCTTCAGATGAAAATAAAACATTAGTCAATTTCGTAAGTCAGAAGCAACAAAACAAATATAATGAATTAAATAAATAAATTGTCTTACTCATCAATGGATTCAGTGGCTTTTTGTGGTGTCTTGATCTCTTCAGGGTCTCTGTGTGACAGACTGAAGGTTGAATAAAACTCAGTGCTGAACAAACACTTATTAATTATTTATTTATGAGTTTTGTCTGAAAAGATCTCAATCAGTCATTAACATATTAACTGTGAGACGTTGGTATTAAAACAACACAGATGTTGAGCTCATATTTTAAAAAATTACCTGTTTTGATGATTTCTTATGCGCAGGAATGTGATGACTGCAACACAAACACAACCAAAGGCCACAACCACAGACAACACAATGATCCAGGTGAAATCTGTGAAAAGAAATTAGTGATAAACACTCAACATTCATAAAGAAACTACAGATCAAAATGTAATAATGACTTGCGAACACTTAGAGGTTAACTTACTGTGATCTCTGTCTTTAGATCCAGATTTATCATTAAATCCTAAAAAAAGAAACAAAAAACATCAGAATCATAAAGTATTGATCAGTCTCTGAATGTGTATGTTTGGAAGTGTTTCTCACCATCAGCAGACGACTGTTTGACCTCAGGAATCATCATAAACACCTCTATCTGAGGACCAGAGAGCACTCGCGCTGCACATCCAACCCGTCTGCTGTTGCCACGGTAACCAGACAGCACAGCTGTGGTGGTGACAGCTACTGTACCGTTGGTGTTGGTGACACTGACAGAGCTGTAGTTTGAGAAGTGGAGGTCTTGTTGCAGGACTCTTAATGTTACTGTGGGAGCAGGTCGACCTGTGGCCGAGCAGGACACAACTGCCTCTACAGGAGAGTTTGATTCTCTAACATGTAGGATGGGTTCATGCAGCTCTGCACAGGAAACACAGGACACACAGGGACACACAGGACACACAGGGACACACAGGGACACACAGGACACACAGCACATTCATTACATCAGTGGAGAATGAGGCAGATTGAGATACATCAATAGAGAATGATTATTAAGACACTTTGAACAATTAAGTCAAGTGAACAACAGAGATGTTCCTAACAACTAATTTCTATATGTACCAGTATATCTAGCGAGTAGTGAGAGTAACGTTTCATCAACTAGTCAACTAATAATGCACCTCCCTGGTAGATAAAGATATAACGATACACTCAACTTATGATTTGATTCTGGGTTCACAATATATATATTACATACACATTGTATTTAACTGCCTCAGGATACAGCTTTACATTACTACTCGTAAACAAATAAACATGTTTTTGATTAAGTTGGAGATAAATCATATGAAAACAGGTTAAAACTACTAGTAAGAATATTTAAAATGGTTCTTACCATAGAGTTTGATGCAGGTTATACCAGTGAGAGCACCTTCAGGGTAGGAATTAAACAAACAGTGATAGCAGCCTTCATCCTGCTCTGTCAGGTTCCTGATAACTATGGAGTTGTTCTGCAGTCCATCATCTTTAAACTCCACTTTATCAATAAAGTCAGGAATCACTCTTGGACCAAAGTGTTTGCTGGAAGTAGCAAGAGTCTTATCTCCCTCAGGTTTCCACCATGTGACTTGAACAACATCTTTATTTTGCATCAGCTGACAGTTTAAATGAGCCTCTTCTCCCACTGCTGCCATCACAGTCTGCTGTGTCTGTACCAGAGCTGTTAGACCTGCAGGAGAAGATGGTTTCAGAGGTAAGTGTGTGTGTGTGTTGTACAGGCTGCAGTCTCACCAGTGTGAAGCACAGTGGAAATATAACTTTAGACTCATAAATAATCTGATTTCAATAATAATAATAATTACTGTAACGCTTTCTCTTTGTTTTCTTCTAAATGCATTAATCTTTTGTAGCTCAAGTATCAAAAATAAGGTTAATTTGTAGAATAAACATATCTAGGTTGTTTTTATTCTACCTCAGTATCCTGATGTGAAAGCTAACAGACATTGTGTTCTTCACTGACCAATAACAAACAAACTCAGTATTAAAATATAATATAAAGTATGAATTTGACCATCAACCAGTGCAAAAGTGTAAAAGTAATCCCAAAAAACGTGGCGTAATTGCCGAATTACAGTAAACAAAGAACAATAAACTCTCAGTTTAATTAAAATAATTTACTTATATAAATGACAGAAACACAAAGTATAAATCTTACCTTTCTGAAAAACTCCAAACGCACAAAATAAACATAAAACTGCAGGTTGTGTCATCTTTACTGAATCTACCGCCATCTCATTCAAAGTAATGTTGTTATTGTACGTCACCTGCTACTGTACGCACTGACTTCTGGGTACGTTCATCGCCGAGGGGTGTCATAGAAATAACTATTTACCACCAATGGACAAACACGAGCCTTTACAGTCTACAGAGAACATTATACATTTATATAAAATATACTATTATTCAATAATAAATAAAAAATGAACTAATTACCTGTTTAAAATACGACACAGATAGCGAGTGACGCTTATCACCCCTCATAACAACGCAATGGTACATCCCGACCAATCAGAGAGAAGCATCTGGATATTTGAATTAAATTAATAATCAATATATTGCTGTCTGACCTCTCACTGCACTGAATGAGACATTTCCAGATAATAAAGTTAAATTTAAGTGGTCTAAATCTTTTTGTTTGCAGGTTTAACAAAATAAAATTATAATAAATAAATAAAACGTTATAATACCTGACAGGTGACAGATATAGATATTCCTGGATTAAGCAACTGGAAATGAGTTACATTTTAATTGACATTTTGTGGCAGCACTTGGTATCACCAGTAAAACTATGGTCAAATACTTTGTTGCGGATATAACAAAGGATACTAAAGTAAGTAAAACTTTGAATATATGGAACAAAATGCACAAATAAAAATCAGTTTTTGTTTGAACTTAAGAGTCCTTTCTAGTAAATACAGATTTTGTCCTGTGTTTGATTTAATTACTGATGATTTTAATTCACAGTAAATAATTACAGATTCATTCTTTTTAGAAATATTTATATTTTTCAGTTACTGGACAGATATAAATATATGGTCTTTGACCTATTTATTAAATTAATTTAGTAACGTCTTACCTTTAGAGGTCCTCTGTCTTTCCTCCCATCTCTCTCCCATTTTAAAGAAATTATATCACATTTAGGATCATAATGGAGGAAAAGACAACAGAATTTCTGTTGAATACTTTATTTATTATTATAGATAAATCCTTCATTCACACCTATAAATATATAAAACCTTTGAATACAATCTCAAGAATGTTTGTGAAAGAAAACAACAAAAACACATATTTAATGTCTTTAAATTATTAGAGGATAGCCCTTAAATATGATTTTATCTTTCTTTTATCTTTTATTCTTTGAGCTTTAATGCCGGACACACTGCATGCTGGGTTTTCTTGTTTAGGTCACAGACCCCAAACTCCTCCAGGGGATTCCCGTCCTGAACATGTCGACATGCCAATACTGAGTCGCACTCATAGCGCTGGTTACTAAGTTTTATACTTCCTTGTGCTTCTCCTTGTCGACTGACCACATCCAGCTAAACTTTTCACACATTGATGATATGTTATGAACCTTGAATGTGACTTTTTGTGGTAGTCTGTTGCCGTGGTGATGCAGTAAATACCAGTGTTTCTTTTTTTTTACGCTTTTTTCCCACAAATAGAAAACACGTTTCCTCCAACACACCGGCTGTGGCTCAGGAGGGTTGAGCAGAAATCTGACGGTTTGATCTCCGGCTCCTCCGGCTTTTTCCACAGGTATCAGTTGTCTGATCGGATACTTTGCTGAAGATGTTTGTTACCTTTGAGGTAAAAAAGAAAGAAAGAAAGAAAGACAGTCAGATTCCACTCATATTATTACATTATAATCATATATATTTTTATCCGTTAATCTGAACATGTGAATAGACCCAAAGCAGAGAAACAAACTGCACTAATGACTTCAGATTTAAATTTAAATTCTCATTTTAACTTCACTTAAAAATAATTTTTGTCGTCTTACAAATATTATCAAAGTCAGACCTTTTATAACTCAGAGATGCTGAAATATTCACTCATGCTTTCAGTATTAATTGTTTACTACTGTAGTTCACTTTTTACTGGATTACAAGAAGTCTGTAATAAAACTACAGCTAGTTCAGAAATATAATTAATTTTAAAGTTCTTTGACCCACTTCACAAAGTTTTAAATGACCTTAATACACCAGAGATCTGGTTTCATTTTATTCTCCAGCCAGACCCCCTGAGGCCCTCCACTGCTTTTCTTTTTAATATTCCTGATGTGTCCCATAAACGTTCAGGAGAGACTGCCGTCTGTTTTTATGGCCCTAAACTGTGGAACTTCCTCTGGATGTAAGGATGGAAATCTCTCTCAGTACTGAGACCTGGAAATTAAACACCTTTCTTTCTAATCTGGTTTTTAATTTGGAGTATTGTTATTGTTTATTTTCTATTGACTTTTATCTATTGATGTACATTTGATTGTTTTTATTGTATTAAATATTAGCTCTGCAATTTATGTGTTCAATTTTGCTTTGTAACTCACTTTGGGCTGCATGTTTGTCTGAAAGGTGCTGTATCAATAAACTAGATTTGAGTTGAGGTGGAGACTCACCTGCTTTCACTGTAGAGTATTATGGAGACATAGATGATGACAGAAGCATATAAACAGGCCACTACCATGGGCCATGCAATGGCCAAGGTGTAATCTGTGAGAAAAGAGGAACATTTATCATTTGAACTAACACTTATAAAGCAAACAAATGAGAATTGATTGAATTACGTAGGGCTGTAACAAGTGCTGAGAACAAAGAGAGTGAATAAGAAACACAAAAAGTAATTCTCTGATTGTTCTACACAGCGATGTGAAGCTCAGTGTGATCGGCTCTGGCCATCAACATCTCGACTCCCCACCTGTCACTCAAAGCAGCCACAACCTTTATTATGCATAACTATAAGCCTTAAAGCCTGTGAACACCCACACAGGTGTTTTCAGTTATTCTGGCTCAGGTTGAAGTTGGGCTGGAGCTTTGATGGACATTTATTACGTCACAATTCTCAGTTTCCAATAAGAACGATAAGTGTAATTCGTCCCACTCTAAGAGGTGCAACAAAGCCAAAAGAAGACTCAGTAAGATGTCAGTCAATGACAGTATACACGCCCACTCAGTCCCAAGAAGAGGACTAATCAATAATTAACTGCAAACACCTGTGTGGGTGTTCACCGGCTTTAATATAGTTTGAATGGATGAATTATATAAAAATTAATCCCCGTACAGTTTAGTTCTAAAGCACAAATAAACATGGCCGCACTTCCACAAAAGGAGGCGGAAACTTCAAACTATTCATTACAACCCTCGAATTATGAGACAATTAATGCAAATTAGTCATTCATTATTATTACCTATTGATCTTTTATTTTGTTCTTCAAGAAGCATAAAGGGAACTATACATCATTTTCATTATTAAACTGAGTTGTAAATGACAATGAAAAATAACTGAACATTAACTTACTGCGATCTCTGTCTTTAGATCCAGAGTCATCATCAAAACCTGAAAAATAAAAAACAAAAAACATCAGAATCATAAAGTATTGATCAGTCTCTGAATGTGTATGTTTGGAAGTGTTTCTCACCATCAGCAGACGACTGTTTGACCTCAGGAATCATCATAAACACCTCTATCTGAGGACCAGAGAGCACTCGCGCTGCACATACAATCTCTGTGCTGTTGCCACGGTAACCAGACAGCACAGCTGTGGTGGTGACAGCGACTGTACCGTTGGTGTTGGTGACATTGACAGAGCTGTAGTTTGAGAAGTGGAAGTCTTGTTGCAGGACTCTTAATGTTACTGTGGGAGCAGGTCGACCTGTGGCCGAGCAGGACACAACTGCCTCTTCAGGAGAGTTTGATTCTCTAACATGTAGGATGGGTTCATGCAGCTCTGCACAGGACACACAGGACACACAGGACACACAGGGACACACAGCACATTAATGAAGGTGTTACAAAGACATCAGCTTCTAACAGGATACTTGTAGTATTGTATTATGGAAATGTATTTAACAATGAATAAATGTTCTTACCATAGAGTTTGATGCAGGTTGCACCTGTGAGACGACCTTCAGGGTAGGTGTTAAACAAACATTGATAGCAGCCTTCATCCTGCTCTGCCAGGTTCCTGATAACTATGGAGTTGTTCTGCAGTCCAGCATCTTTAGTAAACCCCACTTTATCAATAAAGCCAAAATTCACTCTTGGACCAAAGTGTTCGGAGTAGGTAGCAACATTTTCCTCTTTCTCAGGTGAACCTTTCTGCCATGTGACTTGAACAACATCTTTATTTTGCATCAGCTGACAGTTTAAATGAGCCTCTTCTCCCATTGCTGCCATCACAGTCTGCTGTGTCTGTACCAGAGCTGTTAGACCTGCAGGAGATGAAGCAACAGAGAAGTTTCTTCAGCTGAGGGTGCGTGTACACTTTCATACTGGAAGTACAACTCCCTTTCTATCAGAACCAGCATGAACTTTTTTCAGCACTTTCAGCTACAGTAGCTCGTCTGTGTATATACAGTGTACCAGTACAGAACAGAACAGCAGGTACGAGGAAACAATTTGTGAAAGTAAAGATAATTCATACTGTAGGTATTTATTTTTAATAACATATGTTTATTCTATTGTTACAATATGACACACTGCATTAAAGGGGAGCACTCATACTGAATGCATTTGTTAGTTTTTTTATACTGTATATATTCTGCCTATTATGGGAACCATTGACACATGTTGTTGTTTTGCTCTATTTCCTGTCTGGTTTCTGCACCAAAGCTTCTGTTTAAGGTTGAAATAGTCTGAAGACAAGTGTTGTTTGCAGTTAGGATATCACCTGTATGTTGTTTTATATCTCACTTTTCATATTGTGACTCAATAAAAGGAGTTGAGATATGTGCGCAGTTCTCCTTTCCCACTGTTATCTGCACAATCGGTAATATTACTTTATACCTAACAGGACCTACAGTACGGAAAAGTCAGCTGGTGTGACTTTTGGAGGACCCTTATTGCCGAACCAGGTAATAAAGATTCTGACTACTTCTAGTGTAAAACAACATTAACGTAGTACACTAGAGTTTTAAATAACAGGCGATCTCCCCCTGCGTGAGACTGGTTGCGATTGCGGCTCATCGTTTTCCTCCACAAAAACTTTGTAGACTCTCTACTGATTAAAGTTTTAACATTATCCAATTTATTTCTGTTCCTATTGCAAAATGAGATTCGACAGTTGTCTAATTTGGATGAAAGGGTGTGCGGTCATGTGTATAATATAAATTGTAATTGGCGAGATAAAAGTGTAGACGCGACATAATCGATGGTAAAAAGAGTAAGGCGATCACCACTGACTGTTTCCTTACTGACTGTATGACAGTATAAACTATTACCAAATATACTTGACATCAGATTCATAAGGATACGTAAAACGACAGCAAGAACATTTTCTGATTTATTTACAGACATCGACACAGGTAACTATTTTCAAACTCCAGGCAACTCCGTTAATCTTATTTAACATCAGCACTGGAGTGTTTACAACGTTAAATATTTCATTCTTGTTGGTTAAAATGATAAAAAGAAGTAAATTCAGCCAGTATTTCTAGTGTACAATTGTGCACCAATGCTCGGGAATATCACCAGTTCAATTGTCACACCGGCTGCGCTTTAAGGAAGCGAAAGTACATAAAATATGTATAATTACATAATATTTATGGTATTTTCTTACCTTTCTGAAATAGTCCCATCAGAAAGAGTAAATATATAAAGTGTTTCATCTCTGCTCTATGTGTATCTGTCCGCTTAACCTTCAGGTTTCTAAGTACGACGCAGTTATTTTTTTTTTCTAGCTGGGACTGGTTTGTAGGAGGCGGAGTCTGACTGTCATATGATCCAAAACAACTCATATGAAATGTAAATAAAAACATTTAAGAACAGTTTTTACGAAGTTTAAATCAAATCAATAAGCAGCAGGTGAAGAATACCTGCGACTGGTCATCCTGCAGCGTGAGGCTCAACGTAGTCCACAAATCCTCATCACATCTTCAGCGAAGGAAAACATCTGCTTGTCCAGATCAATACACTCCATGAGCTTTGTTTAAGGTCTGGAGAAGAGACTGTTTGTACGACGGCTCTTCAGAGGTTTAAAATACGTTTCAGACCCTTTAAAAAGACTTTAACAGACCTCCACAGTCCACAGAGGATGAACTCTTGGACCAAAGTGTTTGTTGTAGGAGGCAAGAGTCTTCTCTCCCTCAGGTTTCCACAATGTGACTTGAACAACATCTTTATTTTGCATCAGCTGACAGTTTAAATGAGCCTCTTCTCCCACTGTACACTGTTAGACCTGCAGGATAGAAGAGGGTTTCAGAGACATTTGCATTTATTTTTTTGTCAAATATAATAAAAACTAAAAAGTGTGAATTTGAAGGATGAACAACATGCAAACATTAAATCTGTGGAAACTGCTCTCAGTTTTTATGCTGCACACACTTTAAACATTTTACAACACAGTTTAAAAACACGATTAAACTCCTGCACACATTAATGTAACTGTGTTTAAACTCATTTTATCTACTTTTAATTGATGTAACGTCCTCAGCGACTCCTCGACAGACAAATAATAATGAATTCATGAATTAATACATTAATAACAATAATAATAAAACCCTGTCTAATAAAAATACATCACATATGTTTGTATAAAACATAAAATGTGGTAAAACAAAGGTTAATAAACTCACCTTTCCAGAAGAGTCCAAACGCACTGATGACAGAAACTACACATTCAGCCATCTTTGTTCATTGTTTACCGCCAAGTCAGGTTTCTTCTTCTCTCTCTTTATTGAGTGCAGCAGCCGGCGTTAAGTAGCTTTAGCGCCACCTGCAGTTTGGACCCGGGAGTACAAGAAAACAAGGAGAGAGCCCAGTTTCTTTCAAATCATTTCATATTACCTGGGTGTATACGTGTTTGTTTACATTAATAACTGTATATATTGGTTTATTTTTTTTAATTTTATTTAATTAGTCTATGGTTTAATGATCTCTTTCTGTGTTTTTAGCATTAGGAAACTACAAACCTTTATTTTGTTATTCAATCTTGTGTTTGATTTCTTTCAGATTCACACACGTTTTTTGGACTCAGTTCTTCCACCTAAAGCTTTCTGATTTCCTGGCAGTAAACAATATCTCCACTGATTCCTCTTTTTGAGTCTTCATTCATTTGTATTTGTTAGTTTATTTAGCAGGGACAGTGCACACTGATAAAACGTTGCTGTAAATGTGCCAAGAGACATTTTTTAACTTCATAATTCAGAAGAATGTTTGTTTATTGAAGTGTTTTATTACATCTGGTATTCCTGCTCCTGTTAACTGTCCTCACTGTAATGTTATTATTCCTTCTGCTTCAGATTTTCTGTCCTTGATCTCACCGTGTTTCAGAGCCTGTTTTTCTCATGCATCTAAAATTGTATTGCTAAAATATTCCAACATTACATGAACTAACAGCATCAGTCAACACTCATCATGTCTGAACAACAATAAAGTAATGATGCATTTGCCTCTGACACCTTTTCCTTAACCTTCCAGCTGTGAAATGTACGACTGCATTGACATTAACACAGAACAACCTGACGAGTGGGAACAGGAGGTTTTTAAAAGGCAGCTCAACAGTCTCAAAGTTTGATCTTATTCCTGCTGAAGCATAATCAATACATCCGTAGTCTAACACTGACAGTCCACAACAAAGTCTTATTATTATTTGCAATATGAATGTTTGTATTTATTTCTAATAAGTAAATAAATCACCACAGTGATATCTGACTCTATAACCCTCGAATATATTATAAGGGTTTAAATATAAGTTGCAAAATTACATTTCATAATTATTATGATGAACAAAAAGAAAAAGAAAAACAATATTTTATTAAAATACATGTAGAAAATACATATACATATATACGTTAAATGCATTTACACTCAACATGCAGCTCAGAATACCTTTTCAACATATAAAACACCAAGATTTCAAATACTAAGTTAAAATACTTCTTAGAAAGTAAAGTAATAACACTGAGAGGTCTTTCCAGCATCAAAGTTAAAAACATCACAACATTTAAACATAAAAACAATCATTAGAGGTTATAAAGAACACAGTAAAGTGTTATCCCTTCTATCTCTGCCCCCCTTTCCTGTCTGTCTTCAGCTGTCACTATCATAAAGGCAATACAAGCCCCCAAAAAATAATACTTAAAAAAAATAAAAAGTAAACCTCATTATAAAATCTGCTGTTTACATTAATATTTGTTTATATTCTCTGTGTTGAACTGAAAGATGAATCTTAAACAGGTCTTTTAGTGTTGGTTCTTTCATAAATGTCTCCATATTTCACCATATATGTCTTCACTTTGTCTCTACAGTCTTGGAGGATTCTGTGTCACTAAATGTTTCATTATGGTCAAACAGCGATTGTAGACAACTTCCTGTTGGAGACAATGATTCTGAGTTGTTACTTTTGTTCCTAGAAGACGTTCTCCGTTGCCTTATCTTGTTCTCTTGCTGCATTGAAGGTGTTTTGGTCCTTCAGATGAAAATAAAACATTAGTCAATTTTATTAGTCAGAAGCAAAACAAAGAAAATTAATATGTGAAAGTTTTAAAATGAATAAATTGTCTTACTCAAGAATGAGTTCCGCTGGTTTTTGTGTTGTATTGATCTCTTCAGGGTCTCTGTGTGACAGACTGAAGGTTGAATAAAAGTCAGTGCTGAACAAACATTTATCAATTATGTATTTATGGGTTTTGTCTGAAAAGATCTTTAACAGTCATTAACATATTAACTGTGATGGTGAGTTCAAAGTAAATTTTTAACTTTTACCTGTTCTGATGTTTTCTTTTGAGCAGGAGTTTGATGACTGCAACACAAACACAAACACAAACACAAACACAAACAAAGGCCACTACCACAGACAACACAATGATCCAGGTGGAATCTGTGAGAAAAGAGTAAAATTAGTGACAAACACTCAACAATCATAAAGAAACTACAGATCAAAAGGTAATAATGATTTGTGAACACTTAGAGGTTAACTTACAGAGATCTCTGTCTTTAGATCCAGATTTATCATTAAACCCTAAAAAAAGAAACAAAAAACATCAGAATCATAAAGTATTGATCAGTCTCTGAATGTGTATGTTTGGAAGTGTTTCTCACCATCAGCAGGCGACTGTTTGACCTCAGGAATCATCATAAACACCTCTATCTGAGGACCAGAGAGCACTCGCGCTGCACATCCAACCTCTGTGATGTTGCCACGGAAACCAGACAGCACAGCTGTGGTGGTGACAGCGACTGTACCGTTGGTGTTGGTGAGACTGACAGAGCTGTAGTTTGAGAAGTGGAGGTCTTGTTGCAGGACTCTTAATGTTACTGTGGGAGCAGGTCGACCTGTGGCCGAGCAGGACACAACTGCCTCTTCAGGAGAGTTTGATTCTCTAACATGTAGGATGGGTTCATGCAGCTCTGCACAGGACACACAGGGACACACAGGGACACACAGCACATTCATTACATCAGTGGAGAATGAGACAGATTGAGATACATCAATAGAGAATGATTATTAAGACACTTTGAACAATTAAGTCAAGTGAACAACAGAGATGTTCCTAACAACTAATTTTTATATGTACCAGTATATCTAGCGAGTAGTGAGAGTAACATCTGATCAACTAGTCGACTAATAATGCACCTCCCTGGTAGATAAAGATATAACGATACACTCAACTTATGATTTGATTCTGGGTTCACAATATATATATATATATATATATATATATATATATATATATATATATATATAAAAGCTTTGGACCCCTTTCCTAGAGTATTATGAGCACTTACAAATACCATTAAATGAGATACCAATATTAGAGTGAGGCGCTTTTTTGTTTTGTTTTCGTTGCTGTTATTTATTTATTTATTTATGTATTCTGAGGTTTGATTTGTTTTATTGTTGTTACTTTCATTATCATTGAATGATTCTGTATTTGCTATTGCAATCCTTCTGGCATCCTGAATTGAACAAACCCAATAGACACTCATTCAGGAACACTAAGTGGACAGTGGGGACGGTTGGGAGGGGGATGAACTGGGTATAGTTTCACAATTATAATCACTTGATTGATGCAGCTACCATTTTTTTTCTTTTTTGTGAATATATTTACTTTCAACATATGCTGCAAATTAATGTACAAAACTAATGGAAAATCAATAAAAATTGTTGAATGAGAAATGTTCTTACCATAGAGTTTGATGCAGGTTACACCAATGAAAGCACCTTCAGGGTACGAATTAAACAAACAGTGATAGCAGCCTTCATCCTGCTCTGTCAGGTTCCTGATAACTATGGAGTTGTTCTGCAGTCCAGCATCTTTAAACTCCACTTTATCAATAAAGTCAGGATTCACTCTTGGACCAAAGTGTTTGCTGGAAGTGGCAAGAGTCTTATCTCCCTCAGGTTTCCACCATGTGACTTGAACAACATCTTTCTTTTGCATCAGCTGACAGTTTAAATGAGCCTCTTCTCCCACTGCTGCCATCACAGTCTGCTGTGTCTGTACCAGAGCTGTTAGACCTGCAGGAAATAAAGCAACAGAGATGTTTCTTCAGCTGAGGGTGCATATACACTTTCATACTGGAAGTCCAACTCAGTGAAGTCTGATGTACAGTTTAGTTTTTTATTGATATAATAGTATATTATTACATATTACATAGTGTATATATTTTTATTTACAGTCTCATATTTTCTACTATATTTTATAATATTCTTATTTTGTGATTCTTTGTTGTACTCTTTGCATTACATTTCCCTGTGCTGCTGTGTCCGATTTGAATTTCTGCCACAGGAACATCTGATCTGATCTTATGTCTTCTGTCCTTTGGAGGGACACCGCATGTTGTTGTTTTGCTCTATTTCCTGTCTGGTTTCTGCACCAAAGCTTCTGTTCAAAGTCTTAATAGTCGGAAGACAGGTGTTGTTTGCAGTTAGGATATCACCTGTATGTTGTCGTATATCTGACTTTTGATATTGTGACTCAATAAAGGAGTTGAGATATGTGCGCAGTTCTCCTCTCCCACTGTTATCTGCACAATCGGTAATATTACCTTATACCTAATGGGACCTACAGTACTGGGACCCCGTTAGTTCAAAATGTTCATTTATCTACATTGTAAACTGTAAAGTGGTAAGAAAATGCGAGAGTACTCTGCGGGACGTATTTAAAGCGAAACTAAAGACGGAAAAGTCAGCTGGCTGTTCTTTAAGGAAGCGAAATTACATAAGATATGTATAATTACATAATATTTATCGTATTTTCTTACCTTTCTCAAAGAATCCCTTCAGAAAGAATAAATATATAAAGTGTTTCATCTGTGCTCTATGTGGATCTGTCCTCAAGGGTTTGAAGTATGGCACAGATATTTTCATTTTCCTGGAGAACTGGTTTGAGGAGGCAGAGTCCGGATGTCCCGGTTCCAAAACAACTCATATGAAATGTAAATAAAAAACATTAAGAACAGTTTTTGCAAGTTTAAACATGTGGAACTAAAACTTGAAGGGCTGCGGTGGAGTTTTGTTTTATTCACTGTTATATGTATATGTATATAAGTATATATATATAAGTATATATATATATATATACATATACATATATATATATAAGTATAAATGACACAGATATGATGAATGTGTCACTGAGCTGATTCTGACATTTACCCATAAGGAGACTTTTAGTGCTGCACATTGTTGATCAAATGGCTCATATAGTGTAAAATATCTCAACTCTTTTGATTCATTACAGCAGAAAAAACATTTTATTAAAAATAGCAGAAATTTGGAGTGAAGTTTAGATGTTAATTAAAACTGTGTACATGAATGTTTATGATCTGCTGGAGTCATTATTAATGAGCTGGGACTGTTTTTATGCTGTATTAACCGATTAATCTTTCAGTATCAGTTCTTTCACAAAAGACAACAACCAGGACAAATTTGACCTATTTCACAAGTTGTAAATAAAGTCAATAAATGTAATTTCTGACCACAAAGATCGTGTGAAAGTAAGTGGATTCTCCATCTGTACAGTGATTAAAGTTAACTGAACAGACACAATGTGCTCTCTTTTCCACACTGTTGAATAAATGAGCTTAAATCAACAGCTGCTTTACAGACTGTTGATTAAAACACAAGAATATATTAACTGAATTCATTAATTCACAGACAGGAAGACAGCAGGTGAAGAATACCTGCGACTGGTCATCCTGCAGTGTGAGGCTCAACGTAGTCCACAAATCCTCATCACATCTTCAGCGAAGGAAAACATCTGCTTGTCCAGATCAATACACTCCATGAGCTTTGTTTAAGGTCTGGAGAAGAGACTGTTTGTACGACGGCTCTTCAGAGGTTTAAAATACGTTTCAGACCCTCTAAAAAGACTTTAACAGACCTCCACAGTCCACAGAGGATGAACTCTTGGACCAAAGTGTTTGTTGTAGGAGGCAAGAGTCTTCTCTCCCTCAGGTTTCCACCATGTGACTTGAACAACATCTTTATTTTGCATCAGCTGACAGTTTAAATGAGCCTCTTCTCCCACTGTACACTGTTAGACCTGCAGGATAGAAGATGGTTTCAGAGACATTTGCATTTATTTTTGTCAAATATAATATGATATATATATATATATATATATATATATATATATATATACATATATAGTGTGAATTTGAAGGATAAATCTGTTTTTCCTTCCTCAGTATCCTGATGTGAAAGCTAAAAGTTTAGAGGAGCTGTTAAACTTCAACAGAAGACAAACTCAGTGATGTTAATATCTTTAATGGGAACTGGCTGTCACTGGTCCCACAGTCATTATTTGATTTAAGTGAATGGTTAATGCTCCAGGTCCAGAATTTAATTGCTAAAATATTCCAACATTACATGAACTAACAACATCAGTCAACACTCATCATGTCTGAACAACAATAAAGTAATGATGCATTTGCCTCTGACACCTTTTCCTTAACCTTCCAGCTGTGAAATGTACAACTGCATTGACATTAACACAGAACAACCTGACGAGTGGGAACAGGAGGTTTTTTAAAGGCAGCTCAACAGTCTGAAAGTTTGATCTTATTCCTGCTGAAGCATAATCAATACATCCGTAGTCTAACACTGACAGTCCACAACAAAGTCAGCTCCCAGTGCCGGACATGCTTCCTGAGCTACAGGTAATGTGAAACTGGAGTTCTCTGATTCAAACTACGACTGAACTGAATTGAGTTCCTGCCACAAAACAGCCTAAACTCTTCTTCTGTCAATCTGATTATCATTATTTGCAATATGAATGTTTGTATTTATTTCTAATAAGTTAATAAATCACCACAGTGATATCTGACTCTACAATCCTCGAATATATTATAAGTAGCAAAATTACATTTTATAATTATTATGACGAACAAAAAGAAAAAGAAAAACAATATTTTATTAAAATACATGTAGAAAATAAATATACACATATACATTAAATGCATTTACACTCAACATGCAGCTCAGAATACCATTTCATGATATAAAATAACAAGTTTTTCTATATTCAGTTACTTTTCTGTAAACAAAACAGTTATTTAGTTAAATCTTCCTCTACCAATGTGTCACTAAATATTTTATTATGGTCAAACAGCTTTTGCTGATAACTTCCTGTTGAAGACGATGTCACTCTTCTTCTCACAAGACATCCGTTGCCTTAACTCGTTCTCTTGCTGCGTTAAAGGTGTTTTGGACCTTCAGATAAAAATAAAACGTTAGTCAATTTTATTAGCCAGAAGCAAAACAAATAAAATTAATATGTATAAGTTTTTAAATGAATAAATTGTCTTACTCAAGAATGAGTTCAGTTGTTTTTTGTGGTGTCTTGATCTCTTCAGGGTCTCTGTGTGAGATTTTTCAATTATTTTTTCATTATTCATTTATTTATTTATAAGTTTTGTCTGAAAAGATCTCAAGCAGTCATTAACATATTAACTGTGATGTTGAGTTCAAAGTTAATTTTTAACTTTTACCTGTTCTGATTTTTTCTTTCGAGCAGGAGTTTGATGACTGCAACATAAACACAAACACAAACACAAACAAAGGCCACCACAGATACGATGATCCAGGTGAAATCTGTGAGAAAAGAGGAAATTTAGTGATAAACACTCAACAATCAAAAAGAGACTACAGATCAAAAGGTAATAATTGAAAACACTTCGAGGTTAACTTACTGCGATCTCTGTCTTTAGATCCAGAGTCATCATCAAAACCTGTAAAAAGAAACAAAAAACATCAGAATCATAAAGTATTGATCAGTCTCTGAATGTGTATGTTTGGAAGTGTTTCTCACCATCAGCAGACGACTGTTTGACCTCAGGAATCATCATAAACACCTCTATCTGAGGACCAGAGAGCACTCGCGCTGCACATCCAACCCGTCTGCTGTTGCCACGGTAACCAGACAGCACAGCTGTGGTGGTGACAGCGACTGTACCGTTGGTGTTGGTGACACTGACAGAGCTGTAGTTTGAGAAGTGGAGGTCTTGTTGCAGGACTCTTAATGTTACTGTGGGAGCAGGTCGACCTGTGGCCGAGCAGGACACAACTGCCTCTTCAGAAGAGTTTGATTCTCTAACATGTAGGATGGGTTCATGCAGCTCTGCACAGGACACACAGGGACACACAGGGACACACAGGACACACAGGGACACACAGGACACACAGCACATTCATTACATCAGTGGAGAATGAGGCAGATTGAGATACATCAATAGAGAATGATCATTAAGATAAATTATGTATTTAAATATCAAATTTCTCATCACATTATTGAATACTTTTTTTTTCCTGAGGTATAGTAAAAATTGTGTAAAATAAGACATTTTTCCTTTTCTTTGTAGAACTGAAACAAATGTCTTTGTGTCCTGATACAGCTACTGAAGTGAGTGACAAGTAAAGTAGATAGCGCTCTCTGCTGTATACTTTTTGTCCAGTATGTTAGTTTTAGAAGAGATTAATATTGGAAATGTCTCTAATAATGAATAAATGTTCTTACCATAGAGTTTGATGCAGGTTGTAGCAGTGAGAGCACCATCAGGGTAGGAATAAAACAAACAGTGATAGCAGCCTTCATCCTGCTCTGTCAGGTTCCTGATAACTATGGAGTTGTTCTGCAGTCCAGCATCTTTAAACTCCACTTTATCAATAAAGTCAGGATTCACTCTTGGACCAAAGTGTTTGCTGGAAGTAGCAAGAGTATTATCTCCCTCAGGTTTCCACCATGTGACTTGAACAACATCTTTATTTTGCATCAGCTGACAGTTTAAATGAGCCTCTTCTCCCACTGCTGCCATCACAGTCTGCTGTGTCTGTACCAGAGCTGTTAGACCTGCAGGAGATAAAGCAACCGATCTTTTAGACGGTTAATCTAAAGCAACTACAGAAACAGATACAGCTGTCACACAGCTGTGCTTTCAGTTTAACAAAAACAAACAGACCTGTATAAAATGATTGTATCATCTCTTTCTTACCTTTATGGAAGAATCCCAGCACACAGAGCAGAAGCAGAGCTGCATGGTCTATCATCTTTGCCTTTCACTGAATTTCCCACCAAAATGAGTGAAAGTGAAAGTCACTGTGAAAGAGTGCGAAACCCGTATGTGACAGCTTACATTACACATCTGCAGCTGACACTGAGGCACAGCTGGGAGTAAATACCATCCAAATATGAACAATATTGACCATTATTGTTGTTGTCGGTATCATTAGTAGCAGTAAGACTTAAGAGCAGTGGCAGCAGTAACAGTGATAATAACAAAATTCACAAATGACAGAAGATGGAGATTAATGTTCGACTTACAAATGTACCTGAGGATTTATTAGTGATAATGTAAATCAGCAGCGATATGAAATACAGCTCACCTCACTGTCAAAGGTTGTTATTGACCCTAACCTTAAGAAAATCCTTAATTTATCATCATTCTTAAATAAAGAAATAATGAACAAACACTGTGAAAACTATACAAACAATAACCAAATACTATGAAAACAATAATATTAACAATGAGGGCTTTGTGTACTATTAAAAAAGAAAAGTCAAAAGATTGGAGTAAACAGCTCAAGAGTCACAAATAAAATGTCTCAACACGTTTTAAAAGTAACTGGAAGATTTGAAGATGTGGGTTTTCTGTCTATGTAGTCTTAATCACTACATTTCAGATTGTGTTTCTCTAACTCATTCATGAATCCAGAACAGATATTTACCAGCGTGTGTAAAGTGTGAAATGTGTACCAAATTTCCCAATCAGGCATGACTAGGGCAGCCTCTAATGCTTGTGGGGCTGCTACACACATTGTTTGTTATCTGCCAGTAAATCCAGAGAAGTTAATGGTTTGGAGCTCATGTATGTTGCATTTGAAGCTCAGATTGTGTCCTATTAGTGCAGATAATGTGTGCATCAGGTTGTAGGCAGTGTTCATTCTGACTGCACTAACTAAACTAGCTGGACCACATGTTCAGCTGAGCCATGCAGCATCTCCACAGGGTTGGAGGCCTTTGTTTGGTTTATGGGTTAAAGCAGTGGTTCCCAACCAGAGATCACAGGGGGTGCGCACAACTTTGTCTGCTGTAAAATCCCAATAACACATCCAATTAGATAATCAAAACTCTGTATAATCCAAATTAAAACCTATTTTTGGTCCACATTTAAATTCATTAAGCTATTTATTACCTATTTAGTGTGTGTATGCGGGTAGGGGAACTACTAAGGACCTCAAAATGATACTTTAATAAAGTAACTGAGTAAATGTATTAGACTGTACTCAGTTGTATTGATGTAATCCGAACTTCTTACCCAGAATATAAATATTCTGATATTTGTTTTTATGTAAATACACTCAGATGTTCATCGACATCTTTAAATATGCTCTTTGTGATATCTTCCAGATTAAACTACTCAACAGTATATAAAGTAATTAAAGCAGTTTCACCTCCAGCAGCTACAACATGAAAATACAGCTTCCATAGTAATACATCAGAGTTGATAAATGCTTTAATATGATAAATAATAATGTAACAATGACAGGGAGATGCACTGTGTGTTATCATGGATATTTTATATTATTGTACAATTATTCATCTTGTTTAGAAACAATCTACATATAAAAATATAAGACTACATCATATAACATCACCTTTAAATAGCCTCTTTGTGATATAAATCTTCGCTTACGGCCATACCACCCTGAACACGCCCGATCTCGTCCGATCTCGGAAGCTAAGCAGGGTCGGGCCTGGTTAGTACTTGGATGGGAGACCGCCTGGGAATACCAGGTGCTGTAAGCTTTTACACTTCTCTGTACAGACAGCAGGGGGCGCTGCTGCTACTGCTGCTGCTACACTGGAGGAGACAACTGGGAGCTGACATAACTCTTGTGACTCCTTACTGTGACCACGATACTCAAATTAACATTTCTACCAGAATGCCTCTTTATTTTTAGAAACCAGATGATAACATGTTCAACAGATGATCCAAAAACAATATAAGTTTTTAAAATTATTAAAAGTTCAACGAAGCAGACAGTAAATCATAGTTCAGAATAACTGCGAGTTCTTACGAAACATAAAGCCTCTTTATAGGTGATATAACAATATGAAGTCATATTTCTACACACAGTTCACAAGACGAATCATTTAATGACACAGTAAATGCAAACATAAAAGAAAATAAATGTAACAATGTGTTGAATTCACTTTATTTGTGGTTTGATTTTTGGCATTTTCAATCATCATATATGTCGCAGGTTTTATACAATAAAGCTGTTTACAGGAAACGGTTAAATAAAAGTATAAAGAGCTCATTTAAAACAGTGAAATTATCATTTGTGTATTTGTAGATTTATTCTGTTATTTATGGGCTGAACATTTTTTTTT